CTATTTTCACTTTAATTCTATCAGCATAAGAGACATGTACTCTGTAGCAGCAAGAAGAAGAGGCAGCATTTACCGTCCATGGCTTTAAAGGTGGAGGCTAGGTTTCAATGCCATTGAAGAAGGAATACCATTTCAAATGTGCGCCGTGGGAAGCTTCATATCCCTGCCATAGTATCCAGGATGGAATCTTCATTTACACCCTTTCGAGACAACAAATTTATGGTATGTCCAATGCTTCTTGCCATATAAAAGCTAACAAATATCTTGTAGAAATGTAAAGGCGACTTTGCCAGGTCAATTTCGATGTCGCAAGTATGCCATTTGGTTAACCGTTTCCCTCCATCTTGCTGGTTCCATTTATCTGCTTTCTTGCTTATCACTGTTCAAGTAGTAAGTCATCTTTTGCTGCATCACCAGGAAGAATCAGTCGTTACTCACCTGATAAGTTGACTAGTGCCAGCGTCGAGTGGGTCTGGCGGGTTTGGCTTGATAACTGAGCACATCTCTTGCATACTTTATGGATCCCCTTTTGCATCCAGTGAACAATGGCAGATGCTTCATAGTTGAATGATGCGGTCTATACATCTGATTCTTCTGACAGCATAAGACGCATTAACATTCGTTCGATGTTTTCTTTTCAAGAATGTCTGCTCCCAATGAGTCGCTGCCTGGTGGTGTGCTGTACTTTCTATCTGTCTTGTGAAAGAGGTATTGTAGTCATTACGCCTTTGCTGGAACGCTTTACTAACTTGATTCAGTTCACATCTTTGCTGATAGGTACATGCACATCTTTGATATTATGCTGGCTTTTGTACAATTCGTTGCTCTACATGGAACACTGTTGATGGCTTCAACCTTTTCATTCTATGCTCTCTCTGGATCTCGCCTGGAAACATCACTTTTATATTGCCCTAAAAACTGATAATATTGGGAAACACGAAACAGTTCATACTGATCCAGGCTATTATTCTCAATTATCTTTGACTCTACTATAGCCTACAGCATGACCATTACCACTACAAGGCTTTACTATTGCACGTTTTTGGCACGTAGCCTTCGTTTACCCATTAAAATTAACCAATAATAAATGTATAAATATTTAAACCACAATTTCTGAGCCAATGAAAGCTGCCAATATTTAAACCACGAATTATGGTCCAATAAAAGCTACCAATATTTAAGCTGATTCAGACCTTCAATGATCCCATTTCAGCTCATCGATAGGTTCATGCGCGATCATGAATGTTCTCATTTGAGAACATGGATTTGCTCATTTAAGAACATCGATATTTTGATTTGAGAACATCGATGCGCTCATAAACAGCTACATTTGCTCTTATTTAAGAACATGGATGTGCTCATATGGGAACATCTCGGATGTTCTTATGAGAACATCGGCCGACTTATAATAGATCTTTAGGAACGCCGATGTTCCCATATGAGAGCATTTTCCACTTTTTGGGAACATCGATGCTCTCGAATGAGAACATAAAATAGATTCTTATATGAGCACCTCGATGTTCTCATGAGAACATCAGTTGGGCCGTAGTGCAAAAGGGCTCCAAAACCAATATTGTTTGATACTAAACGCGTTTTGTAAAAGGGGTAAAAAAACGGAGGTATGGAATAATGAGAGGACGCCGTATCCGACGTCACGACCAGGAGAATTGGCCTCAGTCTTCTGCCGTGGCAGCCGTAACTGCTGCACTTTAATTTGAAATTGTGCAGTAGGCATCTTCGTGTTCAAATTTGACTTAATTTCAGATTCTTTAAACGTTTTTCCTAAATTTGACCATAAAAACTGTCGTTGTTATACTTTACTTTCTAATGCATTTATAAAGAGTCAATAAAGGCGCATCGAATGATGCTGGTGACATTCAGCTTTCACAGCGAAAATAATGAGCAATTTGCAAAAATATAAAAACAAGATTTCTGCAAAAATGTCAAAAGTTAGAATATGAAAGTCTCATAATAGTAGTGTCCAATGTTACATGTCGTCTTTACGGTCAATTCGATCTAATATGTATTGAAGTGAACTAGACTAGATTCCCATCATAAACAAGACCCAAAATAAATGTCATCTCAATCAAACCATGCTACCATCAGCAGATAGGCATGCATAATAATAGTATTAGCATGATGATAGCAAGGGTTAAATGCTCTAAAATAAGAGATGACAGATACTAAAGTAAATGTCAAGGGTATTGTAATGTGTTGTAACATAAATATACCTAAAAAGGATACAGGCTCAACAATAAAGAGCTATTCTTTACGCATGATTCAAAAACCATATATTGAAATACCGTTCTTGATCCATCAGATCAACAACTAAATGACCCAACAAAAATATATAAAGTAATGGAATCACTGGCAACTACTAAACTGCTGCCAGATAAGAGATATAAACCAAATAATATAAATAGAGACGTAGAATATACATTTTATTGCACATTATCCTAATTTCAAATAAAGAAGGATTTTAACAGTATTCTACCTGCTTTTTTAACCCCCTTTTTACTGCATGTATCATAGAGAAAGTCTTCATTTTTGGGGTGAAAAACGCGATTGTTTGATTTTTGAGAAATTTCCCTTGCTAGTACTCATCAAAAAACGAGGATTTTCGTGGATTTGTAATGACCCAAAAATTCTTGAGATAAAGCATCAGTAAGTAAGGCGTATCAAAGAAGAGTCGTTTGGTGTTATTCTAAGCGCATAGAACGCTTTGTGGCATGAGTTATTCGTGCTTCAAAATGGCTAAGTTTGGACAGAATTTGGTTTAAAAATAAGGCGTAGTATGTTATGCGGCCAAAGAAGTAAGTAAATTACAGTTCTGTATAATGCCCCTGATGTTCTGAATTGTACGAAGCTCAATACCTAAGTGATAGAAACTTTTGCTTTAATTCTAGAACGCAGCTCGTTCTTTTTGAAATGCGCGATTACAATAGTTCTAAGACCTGGCCGTCAACGATATTATGCAAATATGAATCCAATAACTTACCTGGATTGACCAAGATGCTTGTCAGGTTAGCAGGGCACTTTTGATGGTCGTCCACAGCAGACATGCCGTATTTAGCCGTAGAACAGGTTTTAAAGTCTATCCACAATGTTGGACACTCATCATTATTGAGGCTATCAGACTAATTTCTGGTAGGATATTTTTTGTGGTTTTTGGTTGCTTTTAACAGATTATTAAGCTTTTGTTGTCAAAACTCTACTTTTAATGCTTAATTATCAAAGCGTAGAGCAAACAAAATCCTATCTAATGAGCCTAGACTCGAAGCTCTAGCACGTTAGTATCATGAGAAATTGATAATGTTGTACATTCAAAAATTTGTTTTCGAAATTTTTACTTTGCTATCACAGGCAAATTTGGCTAAACTTTGATGATTTTGCACGAAGCTGTATATCGACAAATGCTCAACGGATTTGCACAAAACAAAACCATTAAAGAGCTTTAAGTTAAGTTTAGCATGTTGTGATGGCTTTCGGTGCCAATGTACGTACCCTTTAAGAATTCGCTCAAATTAAAGCCTACGTTTATCTAATCAGCTATAAGCACGGGATTCTTCAAGCGCCAAAAAAAAAGATATAAGAACCTTAGCACAGTGCAGAGAATTGAAAAAAAAAGCAGAAGCTACTAGGCTCTTGGCTCGGGGTCACTGGGTGGCGAAACCTAGCGGTACAACAACCCATTGGATATCGATCATTTTATTACCTTGTGTCATGTCAAAATTTGATGTGGCAGTAAAATTGAATCTGCCAAAAAAATTACACTTTTATTGAGATTGCATTCACTGGTTGCATTTATATACTTTTTGTTAAGTTAGGTTTATAGCGCGATGTTGCACTATAATACAAACGGGTTTGCTATCCACCCAACAAATAATTCGTAAATCATGATTAGCATGTTTTACCCGAAGGACCAAAGTATAGCCCACAACCTTCCACAACCTTTAGTGTGAGACCTTGCTATGGTATTTGATATAACACACTTCATCATTACTCATTGGCGTCATTCTCAACAAGCCCAAGTCAAATATGCCCTAGTCAAATATGCCCTAGTCAAAAAAAAGTAACCTCTACAACTTTCATTACTCATACAGCTCACATCCATATAGTAATTCAAAAAGTTTTACTAGTAACTTCCGCTCAAAATTAACCATTCTCAACAGTCATCATGCTAGCCACGCAAAATTAGTTGTACATCTATATCAAATAAAACATATTTGATTAGTGGGAAGCAGCGAATACAGGCGAGACTCTAGAAGGTAATATCGAATAAAGCTTATTCTTTTTCATAAACTGATAGTGCTTTGCTCTTTGTAGTAAAAAGATTCGGTTATTTTTCAAACTACAGCATCAATATTAGGTCCCTTTTCTTTCTTTTAAAAACACAATGTAACACCAATGCCTTGAATCGATATGGAAAGGCACTATCAAAACTACTTTCAACAACACAGAAAGGAAGAGATAAGCTTTACAAGGGCAATCGCTTTGCCTTTCAGAGCTGTAAACGTTACAACCAAAACGACAGTCAGCATCATGATTAATGAGAGCTATTTCTGAAGAAATAACTCTTTGGTCATGAAAGGACAAAGCGAACAAATCAACGGAGCTATAACAATGGATGAAGTGATTCAAAATCCCATTCGCCATGGATCAAGTCAACAAAACAAGAAATTGCAGATGCATATGAGGCTGTGATTTTATATTTATATGGATACTGTAAACCCATGGATCTATCATACGAGTACACGAAGATAGCACCACAAATTTATGCTTCTCGATCAAAAGTCGATAAGAGGGATCAGCATTGTTTCATCGAGCAGCAGACGTCTGTAACACACATATGCATAGAGGCTATTTCATGCAAGCCTATTCGCTAAAACCGTGAATACCCCTGGGTGCACAACGTACCATTTGATTACAAGAAAGGAGATTTACTTCTTCTGTCCTGTCCAAAGGCTTAATTTCTTCTTTTCTCTTTCTATTCTTTAAAAATGACTAAAGCGAACGCATTGATTTTTTTGAGCCAACGATATGCGATTCCAATTATAAGTATAACAATTGCCGCAACTGTGCTGTACTCTACATGCCAATTCGTCTCTTCAATCAACAAGAGCAAGCCCAAAAGCGACAAATTCCAAAATGCAACCGAAATCCCTACTCCAGGCTCACGTTATCCGTATATTGGCCACATGCTCGCTTTAGGAGATGCACCGAGTAAGAAGCTCATTCAATGGCACAAGGAATTGGGCCCCATCATCAAGGTTCACCTAGGGCAGCAAATTTGGGTGTTATGTGATAGCCCAGAGCTAGCACACAAGATATTTGTAACGCATGGCAGCGAGACATCATTCCGGCCTTATTCAACTTACGCATCAGAGCACTACAGTTTCAGGGGAAAGTAAGTAAAGCGGCAAGTGTTTCAGTGTGGTGGGCTCACTTGAATTCAAGAGGTATAGGGTTTGCGCAACCAGGGCCATCTTACAACAAAAGTCGATCTGCAGGTACATAGAGCACCGATATCTTCTTGTCCAAAATGTAAGCATTCAGCAAAGTCTGTATATAGTCATTTCCATATTGGCACCCAAACAAATCGATAAGTACATGGATTCTATCAGCAACGAATCTTTGGAGTTGGTCAACCGCCTGATGCGTGCAACAGAGGAGGATAAGAGTGTAGATCCAATGCAGCATTTCATGTTGCAGGCATTGAACGTGATTTACAAGGTCTCATTTGGGGATAGGTTCGAGACAATTGAAGATCCCAAATTCCATGAGTTGAGCAGCTTGATAGAAGAGACTATGATGCTCGGCGGATTCGAGAATGATTTGGCCAGCTTTTTACCCATTCTTTCCATTGTCGATTACTTTGCCGGATCACAAGTGAAGATGAAGCACTTTATAAAAACAAAGCGAGATCCCGTATTCAAAAGATTATTGAAAGAGGCCATGTCAAGAGATGGCCCTAACGTGGTCAAATCACTGGAGGAGCAAAAATATGAATTCACAGAGGAGGATAAAATAGTACTGATGTGTAAGTATATCTGTATTTATGCGGTACATGATCACTCAGCACATGCTGCTTACATACAGGTGATATCATTGCGGGGGGCACAGATACTACAGCAACAAGTCTGTCATGGAATTTTGCAATTCTATCTCATCATCTAGATGTACAGCAGAGAGCAGCAGAGGAGATTGATAACTTCATCCGAGCACATGGCCGAGTACCTGGATTTCAGGATCGTCTAGAGGTGCCGTATTGCATTGCCGTTATCAAGGAGAGTATGCGATATAGACCCATCAGTCCATTTGGGATACCTCATAGCGTACAGCGAGACGGTACGTGCAGTGCGCTCTCATTGTGGATCTGTTGCTCATTATTTTTTTGCGTGCTATAGTCTTGATCGACAACTTTATCATTCCTAAAGGTGCCGTGTTGATATCGAGTATGGATAGCATGCACAAAAATGCTGACAACTATTCTTGCCCCGAAATATACTCTCCTGAGCGATTTATGAGCAATCTCAAGACGATGCATGCTGCTGCGAATGGTAAACTGGAGGAGCGTGATCATTATGCGTTTGGATGGGGAAGGAGAATTTGTCCAGGCGCTTACCTTGTATGTCTGACTTGTATGCCATGACCAATATACTATAGCTTACCATGTAGTATAGGCAGAAGCGCAAATCTTCAATGCCATGATCCAGGTGCTTGCAAGGTGTTTTATCGAAGCAGATGATAAGCTTGGTCTACCCAATATACATGAATCTCGTAGTGGAGGAGTGACATCTATGCCGCTGCCACATAGATTGAAGTTTGTTAAACGAACAAGCTGCATTCCAGTATAGACGACATATTTTTAGTTTTACATAATGGACTTGCTAATATCTAATCTATAAATATATAATGCCGGATCTGTGCTAAACAGATGGTACCTCTGTTTGGAACGGAGTATGAAGCACAGATCAAATGCCAGATGCAATCCCATTAAAACTATCAACATTTGGAGAGATTTACAAACAATCTTGCAGGCCAAAGCACCTACACATACTCTATGCAATGAGTTAAATACATGCTGCTTTTTTTTTATATGAAGATTGACTGTGACCCGCTATCCAGAATGCAAAATGGCATTGAGATCCACCACAGCATTGCCCTTGGGTGGCTTTCACACTAAGGAGCCAATCAAGATCATGTTGAATAGAAGAAAAAAAATTTATATGGATGTAAAATTTTTAAAATGTTATGGCTCCTTCTTCGTTTTAGCAAATTGACTTAGTCACCGCTGGTATGTGTTGATAATGCTACTAGCAAGTGTTGTTTAATGACAATGTCACTGCAGAGAATTCATAACTAGAATGTCCTACGTCGCTAAGAACTCTACCCAAAAGCCTGGTCTTGAGGAACAAGATCAACCCAAGTAAGTTCGCACAAAGTGGAGCAGACGTGTTGAAATGCTGACTCGTTGTATAGGATCCACCGTATCCGTATCACCTTGACTTCTCGCAACGTCAAGAACTTGGAAAAGGTCTCTTCTGATCTTATCCAACGTGCCAAGGATAAGCAACTCAAGGTTAAGGGTCCCGTCCGTCTCCCTACCAAGGTTCTTCGCATTACCACCCGTAAGTCTCCTTGTGGTAACGGTTCCGAGACTTTTGATCGCTTCGAGATGAGAATCCACAAGCGTTTGATTGATTTGCACTCTCCCTCTGAGATTGTCAAGCAAATCACCTCCATCTCCATTGAACCCGGAGTTGAGGTTGAGGTTACCATTGCCTAAATATCTCGCTCTATTTAGCTCATCTCAATAGCCCAAATGCTCGCCATCTCGAATGTGGCCAGGCTTTTTTGAATAAAAAAAAAAACAGTATTAAAAAAAATACAAATCATGAAGTGTTGTGGGTGGAAGATTCAAACGGGCTCAAAATAGAGCACATTGCAAGAGAACAAATGCAGTTAAAGTATTGTGTATAAAAGAAGAGGGCTACGGTAACACTATTTCTCTATTCTTTTCATCAAACAAGCTTGCTGTCCATGAGGAGTGCTAAAGCACTTGTATTGCCAGCCTCAGACGGCAGCGTATGTCTGAACGATGTGCCAAATGTCACAACTCTTACCCAGAAAGTGAAAACGACCATGATACTGTATGTGTGGCGTGTGTAAGCTACTAGTATCATTGCATAGTTGGGGACGAGGTTTGGCTGAGGAAACATTGGAGAACAGAGCTCAAGAAATCAAGCTAGAAATCCTAAACAGCACCCAACGCCGGATGCGAAGGTTGACTGAGGCTGTCTTTGTGGCAACTTTGTCAGTTAGATGATCGCTGGCCTCTGGTAACGAAAGGATCTGTGTGGGTTCTCGAGCTTGATGTGAGGGAGGGAAACATTGATAACCTTTGCAAAAGCAGTTGCCCCACACCTATACGGAAAGTAGGCGAAATCTTCCAGTTCGGCCTTTCCTTTCGAAATAGCCTTGACATGGACAAACAGTAAGTGGTTCATGAAGCTGGCTATGCTCCTGTAGTAGCTGACATGGTATACATAGGATGGACATTTGACAATGGCGTCGAGGAGTACTTTAGGCTCCTTGTCGCTTGGCTTCAGAGCGATTGAATGACTATGAGAAATAATATACGTTCGAGTATCCTTTTCTAATGCGTGTTTTTTTGAGATTGATATTGTGCTCTCTATAACACCACTTTGTACGATCTGTGTGCGCTTCTATAGCTCTTGGATGCTCTTAATAGTTACTAAATGACGTGCAGTACAATCGGATTGCTGCTCTCTTCCGAATCATGAGGTAGATCAATGTCCATGCAACTGTTGGCTGGAACTCGGCACTTCAATATAGCCATGTGTTGGTCCTCGTTCATCATCCACCAGCCAATAGAGCAAACAATAAAGTTCTTTTTTCTCCACTGTAGATAACACATACTAGAAAATGACCTCTTCCTCGGCCATAGACAACGCAACAATCATAGGTGCGCATGACAAGCTCTACGACAGCAACGACCTACCAGAGCTGGGGCAGCAAGAGTCACTGCTGCTGCAGCAACCCATAGCTACTACTGCAGTAACAGCAACAGCAGCAGAAGGTGCTGATATCGAGCTGTATCCAGAGCAGCAACGAAGACAGCCTTCACGTCTCGCTCAAATAGCGCAACAGCTCACCAAGCGAAAGATAAAAGCATTCATATATCATTGGCGGTGGTACTTGCTGGCTGGTGTCTTTATTGTAACATCATCCATCTTTATGTATACTCATCGACGTCAGTTCTTTCAAGCATTGGAGACATTGAGCGACAAGCTAGCGAGCATGGGCTACAGGTTGGTATGATACATGACTCATGATATGCAGTACAAACTAACAGCCTCCATCACAGCGGCTACATCCTCATGTCCGTGCTGATCTTTTCAAGTGCATTTCCTCCCATCCTCGGTTACGGCACCTATCAAACTTTGTCTGGTTTTACGTTTGGATTTTCAGTTGGATTTCCTATTTCTTATTTCAGTGCATTGACTGGAGCCGTTGTCTGCTTCCAGTTATCTCGCAGCTTTCTCAAGGCTCGTGTGGTGCGTACATTGTCTAAATACCCCAACCTAGAGGCTGTCGTCAATACTGTTGAAAAGAAGGGGTTCAAGCTGTTCTTGCTGATCCGATTCTCGCCCTATCCTTTCAACCTGCTGAATGTGTTCTTTGCTGCCACCAACATCTCTCTGTTTCAATTTGCTGCAGGAACAGCCATTTCGCTACTCAAAATTGCACTACACGTCTACATTGGTGCCAATCTGACCTCTTTTGCTAAGCATGTACTGGGCGAGGATGACGATCTGTCCGAGTCAGAACAGAGAGTCATGAAGATTCGGTTTGCTGCTGCTGTCTTATTCTCTCTGCTTGCTCTTGTGGTGATGGCTTACTTGTATCGAGTGGCAAAAGCGGCTGTTGCTGAAACTGCAAGCGCTGATGAAGAGCAAATGTCGTTTTTGAATCACCATGACGAGGAAGAAGGCTTTTTGGATACTGTGGATGACGATGATGAGGAGAGTGTGCATGAACCTCCTGCTCCATTGAACAGTAACCACGCCGTAGAGGAACCAAGAGACAGCGTGTCATTGGATGCTTGGGATGCTTGGGGAGATGAATCGGATAATGACAACAATGGTAATGATCAGCCTGTTGTTCAGCCCAAGAAGAAAGCGCTTGCTGGCAAAGATGATTAGACATTTGTCCTATTACCTATTCTTGAAAATGTATATAGTTATTTATTGTATGGCATAAAATCGATGATATCCCCTTTTCTCAGTGTGTTGATAAAGAGTCCCTATTACCAGAAAATTGCCTCGGTAGCCGCTGTATTCAGAGAATAAGATGATCGTCCTGGAGAAACGTCTGAATACTTGTAATGCAAATCAAGTACAATTTATCAATGTTCAGCTTTATTTTTATTATGATGATTACAGGTATATATATATATATGCTATGTTTCATTAATTATCCAGCAATTTCTCTTCATCTTGTCCTTGCATGGGTTCTATACCAGCACATTCAACGTCGTCCTCATCCTCATTCAATTGGATAGCCCGTTGCTGATACTGTGCTCTGAATAAGATCATTGCATACTGGTAAGAAGAGAGCCAGATTGCCAAAACCTCCATTGCCAGTACGGTAATAATAATATACTTGAGCCCGTTTGCCACATAGATTGCTAAAGCGCAGCTTGTTTGCTGCTCTGCAAAGTTCAACCCCATTATGTTCTGATCTATCAAAGCAGCTTCTGTACGTTGATCAAAGGTGATGCAGAATATCCAACTCATGGCAAGACCCGTTGGCATGAGGAATTGGCAGAATTGCTCAACAATGGCGCGCCAAATATCAGTGGTGGATAGCACAATGAACGATCTTCTCGTAACGTATTCAAAGCAGCTAGTAGATGTGTTGCAGGAACTCATGAGTAGAAACAGAGGACAGAATATAGATGCTTGAGCTGCCACAAGAGTTGCAATGAGCCTTCTGTCTTGAATCATGTCATAGATGATCTGGTGTCCCTTGATAACGACGTTGGTGGCATCTTCTTCCAGTAGTGAATAGATAGGTATAGCGCTGTAATTGTAGATGCTGAGTGAGAGAACGACAACGAATATGGAGAGAATGAGCACCACGCTTCGTGTCCAAATGGCAAATGTATTGAAGAAGTGAATATCTTCCATGCTATAAAAGAAAGAGAAACAGAGGTGAAGAGGGATAAGATGGTATGTTTATGAAACCTCTCTCTAAGCTTTCGTTTTTATACCACTAGATACATGTGCGCATTGTCCCTTGATTTTTAATTTAATTGACGGGGGGATCAGAGAATGATAGTTTTACTCGTTTAGGAGATATTGCTTTCATCAACACAGAAGTGTGTTCCCAATAAAACGATAATCCCAGTTTTTCTCTCTTTCTTTCTCTCACTCGCTTTCTCTCCAGACTCTCCTAAACTCACATATATAAACTCGATTAATCCCTATAATCCTCGAAACCAATATTAAATTCTGTTGGAAAAAAAAAAAGAAAAAAGAGATGTTCTATGCTTTATTTCTCATGATGAAAAACGAAAGGGAAAAAAGAACGGTTTGCTTATTGACGGGCAGCAATTTCCTTAGCAGCGATGGCAGCGCGCTTGGCCATCTTAGCGTTGGACTTGGGACCCATGATACCACCACCCCAGTGACGACGGACATCTTCCCACTTCTCGGTGAAGTTGGTGTTGACAGCAGAGACAATGGTAGCCAACTCAGCCTTATCAGCCTCAGAGACTTCGGTCAAAGCAAGAGCAGTGGCAGTCTTCTTGTGGACGAGTGTACCGAGACGAGCCTTACCCTTGACAATACAGTAAGGGACACCCATCTTACGGCAGAGAGCAGGGAGCCAGAGAACCAACTCAATGGGGTCAACATCATCAGCAATGACGACCAATTGAGCCTTCTTGGCCTCAACCAAAGCAGTGATGTGGTTGATACCGTACTTGATGACAACGGGCTTGTCAGTCTTGGCAACCTCCTTCTTCTCAGACTTGGCAAGAGCAGCAGCACGGAGACGATCACGCTTCTCGTTCTTGGACTCGGGTCTGTACTTGTGCATCAACTTGAAGACTTGAGTGGCAGTGTTCTTGTCCAAAACTTGGGTGAATTGGTTAAGAGCAGGAGGGACCTTGAGACGTTGGTAGATGATCTTCTTTTGACGTTGAAGCTTGACATATTGAGGCCACTTAACGAAACGAGAGACATCACGCTTGGGTTGAACATCTTGACCGACACCAAAGTTCTTGGGGGTCTTTTCAATCAAAGGGTTGGCAGCAGCCTTGGTGGTTTGCTTTCCCTTGACAGGATAGGGAGAAGGAGCGACCTTCTTACCAGTGGACTTCTTGGTAGGAGCCTAGCACAGACAATATCATTAGTCTTCTATCTTTTACATATAGTGGATCATTTCAATCTCTAAGTAGGAGCTCTCTGGTGATGGAAAGGTTATACACTACTAATAGTCGGCCATGTCACATCCAGTCATCGAAAAATGACTTGATTGATCCATTGTCGAAAAAAATGAATCATGTACTCATCCCTGTATCTACCATTTCATCCATCCCAAGAAACTCATCTATCGTCGAGAATATATCCATCTAGTTGCATTGATCTACGTTACCATATTGAGATGTATGAAAAAGAGGAGGATTTCTAGTTAGCCTGACACTGTGTTAGTTTTCAATGGAACCATTTGTCTCTGTACTCCGTCGCTTAGAGGTAGCCTTCATCCGGCCCGGAGATATCTGATAATGAAGCTTGATCTGGTTTAACAGGCTTGATACCGACCACCTTAAAAAATTCTTATAGACCACCTACTAAATCCATACTTGTGGCATTTAAGCCGCAAAATTAGGCATATTGATTCGTATAAGACAAAATGTTATGTATTTAGACTTTTTCCTTCTATAACGACGCATATACTTGAGGTCTAGCTCGCATTGTTTGTATGTTTATATGGAGATGTCGTCTTGTGAATATTAGGCAGTTGTTTACTCAAATAATAAGAAAATGTCGTCAGAGGCATATAACGTTCAAACATTAAGCACTAGATAAGGCTTAAAAACCTTTGTTTGCAATTAGGAAAATGCACAGGAGATCCTGAGTGAATAATGGCAAGTCTGAAATAATAGAAACGAGGATACTCCCATTCGACCTTACTCTCAAATGAGATTAGAGCTAATTGTTGGTGAAGATAGGCGCACTCAGAATCTACCAACTGTCTACGAGATTGCAGCCATTCTTCGTAATGAATATTCTGAAACAATTTTTGAAGATATTCTCATCACATTCTGAAATAGCTTTTTAGACAGTGGCAGTAGTCTTTTTCAAACAACTCAATAGACGCATACTATCTACATGCCATGTTGGAATGCTGCACATTATGATTAGAAAGTTGTGTTCCCATATTTTGGTTGTAAACCTGGCTGACTGACGTTGTCAGATATGAGGATGCCCAACAAAAGCAAAAAAAAGAAAAGAAAAAAGGTATTCTGGTTATGCGATAGTTCTTTTGACTTTATGATTCCCATTTAATCAGCATCGCAATTATCATTGTCATCAATAGAAAGGTATTTAGGTCAGCCAGCAGCAAGCCACCACCACCAAAATTAACTCAAACTCAGGTTACTTTTTCTGTTCAAGATTGGACAGATTTTGTCTTTTTTCGACTTCTTTAATCTATTCTGGAAGATTCGACTATATAAACTGTGATGATCATTCAATGCTTCATAATACATTCTTAGAGTACTTTTTAAGGCGCTCCTAATGGTGCCAAGTAAAGTAAATGTTTTGACTAAAGCTATTGAGCAATTTAATAAAATACGAAATGATATTTTTAGCGAAAATAGCCATATTTTGCATATGAAAGCTTCATAAAAGTAGTTTCAGAGGTTGCTTTGGATCGAGAGAAACATTTTGATACGATATATACCTTAGTAAAAGTCTTCATTTTCAAGATGAAAAACGCGATCGTTTGATTTTCGATGAAAACCATGAGGAGTACCTCATGCTTTTTGGTCGATTTTTGGCCATGTTTTTTTGGTCCTCAAAAAGTTGAGCAAAGGTGTCAGGAAGTTACTACTACTCAAGTACAATTGTTTAGCATCATTCCGGTGGCTCAGAAAGATCTCAATGGCAAGATATTAAGGCTTGAAAGCTGCCAAATTTGGCTGTGTTTTATCTACATGTTCGTCAAGAGGGAAGTTTTCGTCATGAGATAAAGGTATAAAGGCAATGTACTCATTAATCAAGATTCAGAGCACGCTGTAGCGTTCAAGTATTCAGCTAAAAGCATTAGGTTGAGTGGCACTGTTGTATCGTTGTATCGTAGTACAATGTTACAGCTTACTAGCGAGGTGATGGCGGCTGTAAAGCATACTGGACGTTTTAGACGCAGTAGATAGTCTGCATCTAGTATAAACTATGCTATAAAATTAGCTGGAATACAGTTGGTCCATAACTCGGTAGCTGAAATCACTAGGTGGTCCGCATCATATTCGTGGTTCAACGGTCAGCCTAAAAAGACTCATCATTCATTAAATCAAACACTAAGAGTATAGGTTTCGATATGCAGTCGAGCCTTATAATCTTCTAGTTCTTGAAATCGACGACAAGACCACAAATTAAATGGCTTCAAAGCAGGATCGATTTTATCACTAGATGCTCTGAAGCGGTGTTGGCTCCATTTAGACACGATGCTAGCCTGTCGTTTGCAAAGGAAACAGGTGCTCATCTTCTAATCAACGTTGCCACAATTCCATCACTCTAAAAACGTTTTGGCCTGGCGATACCCTACGTGAACGTGAATCGACATACCAAAACTGAACTCGTCTCATTCTATTTTTGACGCTACACACGGCAATCTGAAGTAGGAAGGACATGATTAGCACCATTTAAGGTAATGCGATGCGAAGAAAGCTTGTGTACCTAAACAAGATGTGTTCATAAAGTGACATTTGTGGAATGATTTACACATTGCTGCCATAATTTATGTTTGCAACAAGTTTCTCAGGCTATTATGCTAAAAAGAACCAAATTTTCTCACAATGTTTTACATGCTTTTGGCCTTTTCACATTGGCGACTTGACATTTTTGGGTCTGCAAGGGATTGCTGGTGTAAACAATAAGCACTTCATTACTTAACAACGAATGCAATCGGCGTCATATTGGGTTCATAGATAATTTAGTATCTATGCCAAGTTTGTGGAACAAAAAAAAATAATAAAACGCTTGCTGCTTTATGACATGCTGTGTGTATGCCGGGATAAAACCTCCCGAATGCTACATTATCCAGCCGAATAGAAATTGACCCAAATGGCCACATCTCACTATATAACAAAATATTCGCAATAGCCATATCAGCTCATAGTCTACTAGGTCGATGCATGTCAAATCATGAGAGTATGAATGAGAGAGATTAGGTTTTAAATGAAATAGTCGGGGTTTCCTGCCATGACAATCAACTAAAAGAAGGGTTAACCTAACACAGATTTCATTTTTTTTTCCCTTTCTTCCTTCCTTCTTTCCCTCCGTTTTTCTTTACATCTTACCTATTGAAAGCAGACAATGTCAACTCAAGCCAAGGCCAGACGTATTGCAGTGTTAGGAACAAGAGCCGTTGGTAATACTTTTAGCTAAAGAGGCATGGCTTGTGAGAACATCTCTAAGCATTTACATTAGGCAAATCTTCGCTTGTTATCCAATTTTGTGAAAATCACTTTGTTGACAGTTATTACCCGACCATCGAGAATACATTTACAAAGACCATCAAGTACCGAGGCTTAGGTGAGACAAAGGCATTGGGGAGTTATAGCATAGCAGTATACTAAACATGCAACATTGCAAATAGAATACAAGGTGGAAATCATGGATACAGCGGGTCAGGTAAATAGCAACTTGTCATATGTCCCGGCGCGCGAGAGATTAAACACAAAGACACAGGACGAGTACTCTATACTATCATCACATCACGCATCGAGTATGAACGGCTACGTACTAGTCTACTCCATCTCGTCCAAATCGAGCTTTGACATGATCAAGATTATTCGAGACAAGATTTTAGATTTCACTGGATTAGAAACGGTGCCTTGTGTCATTGTGGGCAATAAGTCTGATTTGAACATTCAGAGACAAGTTACTACACAAGAAGGTTTAGAATTGGCACAGCAATGGAACTGCCCTTTTGTTGAGACGTCAGCAAAGCATGATGAGAACGTTTGTAAGTTGTCTGCCATTCTATGTGCGTTTGAAGATTGACCTAAACGAACTATACCTTAGCCAAAATTTTCGACTCGTTGATTGCTTCCATTGAAAAGGCGAATAATCCACCTCCAGAAGAGAAGGGTGGTTGCGTTCTCATGTAGCGGATGGATGCTTAAATAAAGTCATGTCAGATTCAGACGATATTTTTTATTTGGAGACACTTGTGTATATATACGCTCTGCAACTGTAATTCGACTGGAGCATGTGGAGAGCAACTATGTAGTTCATTTGGGATCATTGCTGTATCACTTAAGCCACTTGACAGCCAGGGAGGTATTGCAGCAGTGATTAGACGTACTCGAAAACAGGGTTGCGTGTATAATAGGCATCAAGAGTCATGCTCATATCAGTCAATGAGTGATGCTATACTAGAAATGTCATTGAAAGTCGTATTTGAATGTTTGCTCAATTGATTATGCTACATTGATCTACTGTGGTCCATTCAATTTCCGCATTCAAATGTCAATGTTGGCGCATCTTCCCTTAGAGCATGCTATTGAACTGACTGTTCTCTAGATCCAAAGCGATGCCCTACCCAGATTGGAACTTTACAACTACCTGTGATGCTGAATGGGATCATCCAACTGGCGCTACTTTTGAGTATATGGAGAACGTATCATGGCCCACTGAGATGTGATAAGCTGGAAAGACTATCATTTGCGTCTTGTAACATTTTCTGAAATAAATGCCTTCATGCTGGCTCGGATAAGACTGAAGAGTGGACAGAAGGCGTAGTATGAGCATGACATGCTCGAAACAAGCACTTGGAAGCATCACTCTCTTGCCCAATGGGATTCCATTAGACACTCGCAGCTGGCACATCCACAAGAATATACGTAACTGGGTTCCATTATTATTATCGAGCTTTTTATTTGTGTTTTTCACAGCTCCTTTTCTTTCTTTTTCTCTCTTCCCCTTCATCTTCTCATATCCATAGTCGAGTAGCCGTACATGTCTCTTCCCAAAAGAATTGTTAAGGTATGAAAGCAGACTACTCGATAGTGTACAGATATGATTTATTTACGTGATTGAGCAGGAAACCGAACGTTTATTAGCTGACCCTGCTCCTGGCATCAGTGCCACACCTCATGATGATAACTTGCGTTATTTCGATGTGATTATCGCTGGTCCTTCTCAATCTCCATTTGAAGGTAAATAGATGTTATTGAACATCACCCTCATTAGAGATTAATAGTCATCTTGAAGGCGGTATTTTCCACTTGGAGTTGTTCTTACCCGAGGATTATCCAATGGGACCTCCCAAGGTTCGCTTCTTGACAAAAATCTACCATCCCAACATTGACAAGCTGGGTCGTATTTGCTTGGATATCCTTAAAGGTAAGATGAAGTTGAAGGAGGGGGGGGGGGACGGACAAGAACGCCTCCAAAGGGCGGGGGAGATGTAAAGAAAGAGGAGAGGATGTTGATTGTCATCCTTTGCAGATAAATGGTCTCCTGCTCTTCAAATCCGCACCGTGTTACTCTCCATACAGGCATTGCTGTCTGCACCTAACCCAGATGATCCATTAGCAAATGATGTTGCTTCCCACTGGAAGGAAGATGAAAAGGGTGCCATTGAGCAAGGTAAATTCAATGTGGAAGCTTTATTCGTGATGCTGACGTCCATTTTTAATAGCTCGCCAATGGACCACCATGTATGCTCACCCATAATTTATATATAAAATCGAATAAACCAAGAGACCCTTTATAACTAGCAAGTATATAACATCATGTGATTTTAATGCCATGAAACTTGATCAATCAACAAAAAATAACATGCAAAATGGTGATATAATCTTTGCTGTCAAATTACATGGACCGGCTTTTCCAGCTCCATTTTGGTTTAAAAAATGTAAAACCTATGAGATGTTTCTCTTTCCTCTCTTTGTTTTACATTTATATATATAAAAAAAAACAAAAACTCGCACATATCGACGATCTTTTGAAAGAGAAACGCTTCAGGTAACTTTTGTTTGATCTCTTGCCTCTCCCCAATGCATCATATCTAACATGGCTGGTAGACATGAATAACAATGCTCTATCCGATCGTAATTATGAACGCATAATTGTATAAAAACTCAATTTATTTATCAATATCTATTAGTTCCTGCTGTCCGCTTGGCTTCAGGTGTAGAGCCCCAGCAAAAATGGCCTTCCATGTCAGGGGACCATCAGCAGCAGCAACAACAAAAGCAACATCTCCAGCAAAAGAACGAGGGCAAAACCATCCAAGGGCCAAAGCTGATCGAAATGTCGCCTGCTCAAGGCAACGAGGGAACTATTGTTACTGTGGTAGTACAAGCATTGCCGCCTCAAATGCCTGCCAAACTAGCATTCAATAGTCTGATGGTGGACACAAAGCAATTGCAATCTCAGGGCATCACTTCTCTGGTCGCTACTGTGCCTTCGTTCCAGCAGACACATTCGTCCGCACCCAATGTACCCGTTAGCATCTGTTTCTTGGACAAAGACATGGTGACAGAAACATGGACGGTAGCAGATTTCAATTACATGGCTTTAAACGATAAAAAGACGAGTCCTATTGTTTCCTCTGGCGTCACTCCAGCGGCTGCTGCCCATCCATCCTATCCTCATGCTACAACTGCTGCAGTCGCCAGTACTACGGATGCGCACACTGCATCAGGTCCATATCAACCTAAAGGTATGTATGTCACTGTCAATCTATTATTAAACATTTATTTAATTTCTCATCTTCAATGGCAGATAACAACGACTTTCTGAATACTTCTGCCGCCGCTTATCAAGGCTTTTATTCACCTCCAGCTGTAAATACCTCTTACGGATTCGGAGCTCAGGTTGCCGGCTATCAATCCTACCATGCTTATCAGCAGCCATCGCCACACCATGGGCATCCAGGCCAAGCTGGCATTTTTGTAGACAGTAAAGTACCATGATCTGTGAAGGTGATGAACTGATGTATTGATTGATCCTTGTGTCATTTACCAGAATATGCCCAACATGCAAGACCCCAACAGCATCACCCATACAACGGCTATGCCAACTCAGCTGCTACCCTCAATCTCTTCCCCTCCGCCGCTGGAACAGGAGGATTCACGGGCATGCTTACTGGTGGGTTGGATCAGACAGCTTCGAACAATGCCATGCCATCTGCTTACAACAACCCTATGGATCCTTCACTCAATGCTCATCCACATGGTGCCAATAGGCCCCGTCAGCATCAAATGAATGATAGCAATAGTGCCGTGTATGGCTTCAAATCAGCTACTCATACACCTACTACTTCAGTAGCCAACTATCAACCTTATCCTGGCCTCGTCAGCCGCGCCAATCTAGACATTATGGGTGATTTGGAGGCCATGACCAAGAGTTGGGCTCCAGAGGAATGGGATCATCGTCGTCGTCTGGTGCAGTTCTGGCGCGAGCAACATGGCAACAAAATCACGACCACATTCCAGCCTGTACCTCAAGGTGAACGTGCCTCCAACAGTGGTAACATTGTGGTTTCCTGCATCTACTGGATGGAACGCAACGACTTCTTTATCACCTCTGTTGACTGCATTTACTTGCTTGAATGCTTGATGGACATCCGATTTAGCGTAGAGGAAAAGAACCGTATTCGTAGAAACTTGGAAGGGTTCAGACCATTGACCGTCAGTAAATGCAAGGCTGAGAGTGCTGATTTCTTCAAGCTCATTATGAGTTTCCCCAATCCCAAGCCTCGTAATATCGAAAAGGATGTCAAGGTGTTCCCCTGGAAGACATTGCCCTATGCTCTCAAGAAAATCGTTACAAAATATACTGCTTCCAGCTACAACAATGTGGGTGCTCATGGCCAAAAAGTTCAACAGCAACAGTCTTCAGCAAAGCATTCTCCTGCTGCCAGCTCATCTCTGCTTTCAACTCCCATCACAGAGAATCCGCCCACCAACTCTACAAGTGCCAGCAGCGCATTCTATCAGCACGATCAAAACGCTGCAGTTTCTGATCGTTCTGGACTTGTCAGTAGCTACAATGCTCAACCCTATTCTCATGAATTATACGAGCCAGCCTACTTCAATAATCAGCAGCAGCAGCAGCAGCAGCAGCCAAAGGGCAGTAATTTGGATCCATCTTCAGCCTCCATTGTCGGTGGTTTGAGTGATGTTCCTTCATCTACTGCAGCAGCCTCTGATGCTACATCAGCGACCGTGTCTGCACCTCATGTCGATACCACTACTGTCGCTTCTAATTCTGCCGCAGTCGATCCTCCGTCCAGCACCAACAACACATCTACATCTACAGTATCTCCTACAGCGGGTGCCATCATCAACAGTGACTCTACTAGCACTGAAAAGCAAGAAACCCCATCCAATTAACCCTCGGGCATGAAACAAAAGCAACCCTACATCATCATTTAATTCCTTTTTTATTTACATTTTGGTTTTTCGTATCTCATATAACAACATTTCATAAAAATTCAAATATAAAAAAAAAAAAAAAAACGCCGTTTTAATCATGAAAAGCCTAGTGTGAGCTGATTATTTTATTTAATTGAAGGCGATTGCCAGATACCAAATGAGCATGGATATCACTATCAAAACTAAAAAGATGGAAAATAGGCTCATACATCGATTCCATTTGTAAAAAAATAAGATTTCATCAAAAGAAGATGAGGATCTGCTGCCAATGTCAGCGTGAGGTGGTAATTGAAACAACTTGGATGACGTCTTGCCATTTGCTATCATGGAGGGGTGAATGATGATGGTCGTTGTTTCGATATCATTCGCGACAACCTTAATGTAGTAACCGCCAATCCACCAGCAAGGAAAAAATAGAAATCCAAACAGAAATAGCAGTGATTGTGTATGGAAAACACTGTGTAGATGCTGATTTGGATGAGATGGATCGTTTGCGTTCTTTTCCTGGTGGTACTGCCAATGGAGCATCGAGTTTTTATTGCTAAATGTCAGTGTAGATATGGTGGTGATTGTTTGCCGGTTGCTGTTTGGAAGGATGCTTGATCTGCTGGCTCTTTTTCTCTGCTGTGATTTCCATCGCTTCAGTCTACTGGTTGAATTTGCCTTTTTAATAGTGCTTGAAGGATTCCAAGTGCTCGGTCTTTTCTTGGTGGAGGCCATTCAGTTCTGTAGACGCTCTATGATTTACAGAACCCACAATCGTGGTCATCTCTTTATATACGCAGAGCGCCGCCCTTGAAATATTTAATATAAATGTCAAATCACCATGGTCTCTCCTTGGTTTTCGTGCTCGTATCAGTGACAGAAATTTAATTTCCAACATTGCTCATCACCGCACAGACCCATACAATTTAGCCGCTTGGCACGATTAATCTTGCACAAATATAGTCAGTGTTTGCGTGGTGCGTATAAACTTCATATTCTCGTGTTATATCGTCGTTTCTATAACAAGTCATCCAAGATGGTAATGACGAGATGGTGTCATTTGCTTATTCGATTGGCAAATGTTCCTTTTTGTTCTATGAAGCTTGAATGCTATTTGTTTAATTTCTAGTAACGTTCAAGGATGCCCTGTCGTCATTTTGAACTATCCAATTGAGCAAACAAGCAGCAAACCAGGGTCGATCTCGTAAGCGTAATTATGCAAAGCAAGGAGACATTCATCATCATGACGTTTTTGGTGTTACCTTATCAACAGTTGCCCAAATGTATATAAACAGCTGCGAATCAAGACAGTTTTACAGCATTATCAACAAATCTACTATATTTTACACATCAAAATGAGCTCTCCATCCAAGACTGAAGCCAAGAAGGACCAATTCGTCGGTAACGTAAAGGAAAACGTCGGTTCTGCTTTGGGTAATGAATCTCTCGAGGCCAAGGGCACTGCTCAAAAGAGCGATGGTAACGTTCAAGAAATCGCTGCCAATGTCCAACACTTTGTCCAAGGTGCTTATGATCAAGCCGCTGGTGCTGTTCAAGGCGTTGTTAATTCCTTTACTGGCAACAACTCTGGTGAGGCGGAAGCCAAGGTGCAAGAGAAGAAGGGCGAAGCCGAGAGAAAGATCAACACCTAAATGGTCCTTCATCTGGCAATACAAATCCATTCATGTTGTACATAATATTTTGAATAAACAGCTTTTTTATACATACATAAGATTGCCAATGCCATGTTATACTCTGCTCTACACCTGACTATGCATTCTTGGCTCAGGTACCAACCAAATCCCTTTCTTCAGGGCCCATTGCTTGATTTGGGAGACCTTATTTATTGAAATGATGGTTGATGCATTGCTCATTTGCGTGCAAGTATATGTCATTGATTGAGTCTGTTTCGTTTGATCTGCTCGGTGGTCGATACCAAGTCAGGGCATTTGAAGTGGATGGGATTCATTGTGATTCATAAAGGTCAGGGTAGCTCATTTACATAACCCATCCAGCGCAATTACACAACTGTGCCTCTCAGCAGGATGAACTGGTGGTATTCGTATATCAGCAAAAGTGCCATACAATGTAATATGATTTTATTCAACAGAAATTGTTCAATAATCCCATGGCAATGAAAAACAAAAGCACTTTAACTCGGGTATCATCTAAAATCTTTCTCAATAGAGTCGGCTTCTTTTCGTTAACAAGTGATGCATCCCAGACCTCCTCATCCTCTTGTTCCTCCTGTGCTTGTAATATCGCTGCTTCTTGCTTAAGATGAGTGGGTTGCACCACAAGATCAATGCCGGTGGATGAGGTCTGTTGCACTTCTGATGTTGAGGTTGGTAGCAGGGGAACAGCTTGATAGTCGCCGCCTGCTGCCCTCGGGGTGGTTCCATTTGAATCGGCCTTCTTGGATTGAGCCAAGGTGCAAATAGCAACTGAGATGGTATGTGTCGTTTGGCTCATGTAATGGCACACAAAGATGAACAAACAGCTAGAGATCAGCAAATTGATCCACCATCCCAGACCAGCAACCCAAGTAGGCTGAGCCAAAATGACCAATAAGCCCTTGGTATCGCCCGCTAACCACATGTGGAACTGACCGATGAATGTCTCGAGAGAGATCTTACCAATGAAAGCATAAACTTCAGAGTGTGTGTTGCGCAAATAGACGTTTGCATTACGGAGGAAAATAAAGGCCATGATAGGAATCCAGGAGACGTAAGGATGTGTTTCATTGTAGACAAACTTGTTTTCGCGCGTGATTTCGTACCAGAAATACCACACCATGGCGAGCACTGAAAACACAAGCGATCCCTTCTTAAGTGCAGGGAAACGAGGATGGTCCATCACCTTGTGCTCTGTCATTTTGATGAAAGCATAAGCGCAAAGCATGCCCACATAGACGATATAGGCATCCAACGCTAAACGGAAGCGCCATTCGCCCGCATTCCAATGCACATTAAACACGATTTCCAAGAGGTTAAACACAAACTCCAATACACCGTCTATTTTGATGAATGCAGTGGTAGCAGCACACGACACAGCCAGCTTGATCAGCATAAAGGTAGGCACCTTATTCCACTGGTGTCCAGTGTACATGACCAGCCAAATCACCAGAAACCAAAATGAGACCAAGGGCGTAAAGTAATAGCTCAGGTAATCCGTGTCCATCAAGTACTGTAATACAAATGTCAAAAAGTTGAGTCGCACCATGACATTCAAGATGCGGCCCATGCCAAAATCAGCCTTCTTGTAGAAGAAGAAAAAGTGACCATAGCCAGTTTGAAAGAGATACGCTGCTACCAAAATGCGCACAGCATTGTAGATGCCTGATGTGCCTGAAGCGCCACAGAAATGGTACACCAAAATGATCACCTGCATCCATCCCTTCCATTCATCGGTTTGGTGGCGGTTCAAAAAGCCCTGGTCTCCTTCGTTCTTGTGCTGTAGTTTGACCATGCCCAAGACGGCCACTGCCATCATCATACCAATAAACACGGTGGCGTCAAAGTTCTTTTGGATCTTGCCAAACAACTGCGTTCGGTCTCCATAAAACATGTACATGACGCACAGGCCAAACACAAAGCAGGCATTCAACAGCTTCTTGGAGGGAAACAGCTTGCTTATCATGGAAGTGCCTATGCTACCATTTTCAATATGCCGCATGATGCTTAGTACAACCATCACTTACCGGATAACAAACTTGTAGCCAAGAAACCAGCAGGAATCCAGAACAAAAAGAAGGCCATGAACGCTAACTGATACCATCTGGGTGCAGGATATATAAAGCAGCAAGTGTCGCTCATGGGGAACTTTTTGCTGAGCTGATCATTGCATCTGTAGTTGAGAGCGATCTGTGTCTGAACAGTGGTAACAATGGGGTTGTAATGAAGCCCATCCTCGGAGACATTGGTTGCGTGCGTGCCAATTTCGTTCCATACGAAAGGTATCTCTAAGGGTGTTTGTGGTGTCCGCATCTGGCTGTATCTCTCCATCAGGTACCCGTTCATCTGCGTGATCTTGTCCATGGTCATAGTCTGTGTGCGGTTTGCCCCCAACTTGTCATACTGTGGTATCTCAACAGGGCTCAGGAGCACTGCATCTGCCACTTGTGTTTGTTGCACAGCATCAAACACAGTGTCAATTCCCTTTTTCCACTCCTTGAAGTAATTTTCTCCCAAGTAATGCATTTGCCATGCACCTGAACCTACTACCATCAAGCTAGGCCGGATCGAAGGCAGGCTGCCTTGCAGCAAATCAGTGGTTTCGTTCAGGTAAGGATCCCACCAGAATTCCAATGTGAGATGTTGCTCATTAAACACATATTTGCGGTTGACATGTGCTTCTCCCGAGGTGTCGATGCCAGGCTTGACGAGATTCAGGGCAGCAAAAAACTGCTGTCGAACTATGGAATCACCAACATACACGATACGAGCGTGGCCAAGACAGCTGGATATCTCTGATGGTTTGTAGTTGTGCATCATACAGCTCGCTGGTTGCCAGTTCCTGTATGTGTCGTCTATCCACCAGCCATCATTCAGCAGACTAGCACATCTATTTCGATCCTTGGCAACTAGCCAAGCAAAAGATCAGCCATTCTGTCTTTCAAGAGATGTGATATTGCTTCCTTCTCCTTACCAAATATATAGCGAAGCAGTGATGTGAGGCCTACAAAGATGAAGCCTACCAAGCAGCCGAGTTTGATGAGTTTTGCTATGGCACTGGAATCAGATGAAGCCCCCATAGAACGCTTTTTGTGTATGCAGTGGAAGAAAGAAAGAACAAGCAAAAGAAGAAACTAAAATAAATTACATTCCTGTTGCGGGTGTAGATCTTTTTTCGTTTTGTGTAAATTTGTTTGGATTGGTTTGAAACCCAATTAGTTTCTGTATCGCTCTTTCTTGCCTTTTATCCAGCCATTCCATACCTGAAAATGTCAATACACACAGCCAGTTTATCCTTTTGCGGGCCTTGCTGTCAAATTGAAATGTCTAGAAGAGTTTACAGCCATGCAAATAGGCTCCAAGTGCTATAGTAATAAAGTGAATCTGATAAGATGGTTGATTTGCCGCTCAATAGATGCTATATTTTTAGTTTCCATGACAACATGTTTCCAAAAGACTCCTCGTCATTGGCAGAGACTATGCCAAGGATGATGGAAGGGGAGAGCCAGCTTACTGGTGAGCAACTTTCTGTAGTGTAAGCGTCGCAATCAACTCAACAGATGAAAACTGGAGCATCGACATGTGGAGCAACGAACCAACAAGGCTTTGGAACCATGTTGCACACACACACACAAGAGCGCCAATAGTATTATCCGCCATGAAAAGAGCATGGATACTTTAGCTTACCTTTAGTGTGCAGGGCATGACATCAAAGCAAGCACCCAGCATGATTGCTCTGATGAATGTATTCGAGCCAGGGATTTCTGTTTGCCCTGGCCCTGCAAAGCCAAATTAAGCTTCTTCAAGATGTCTTTCCTTTTTCAGCCTTGAATGACAAATGTAATCCCACGCATAAACACCAATGGACACAATGAATACCTGGAGGCGGCGCTTGTGTGTGATCCACGAGAGTCATGGTGAAATGAAAAGGTGCTGCTGAACTCGAATCATTCGAGCTAGTTGCGACTAAAAAAAAAAGACATCATAAATGCGTTGTGGGATGAGGGATTTCCCTCTTCCTTTCTTCTCTCCTTTATACCTCACTTTCTAGACACCCACTTTTTCATGAACAACCATCATGCCAGTCAAAAGCAAACGCAACATACAGATTATGCTATAGCATCAGCACATGGCGATCATCATGGCGTGTATCCACCTTATTTTGATGTAAGTAGAGAAGTGTCTCAGTGCAAGTATCCAGAGAGGTAGTGACATGCTGCGGTATATGCAGGCCATTGTAGCAGGTGGTATAGGCGGTTCAGCAGCAGATTGCTTGATGCACAGGTAAGCCCAATAACGGGGAGCAAAGCACAGCATGCGTTTGGCTCACCAGACTCGTCATGCGCATAGTGTGGATACTGTCAAAACAAGGCTACAGGGCCAGCCATTGCATCGATCCACCATCAAATATCACAACATGGTTCAAGCATACAAGCTGATTTTCAAGGAGGAGGGTGTTTTCAGAGGACTGTATGCGGGCGTGACACCTGCTATGCTTGGCTCAAGTAAGGATTATGTAGTGCGCATCATGGAAGCAGTACAATGACTCATCTCGAAAATGACATAGTTCCCGGTACTGCCCTGTACTTTGGTATCTACGAATTTACCAAACGTAATCTGACAGCCAACAATATACCCGAAATCGTTTCACATTTGGCAGCAGGTTCATTGGGCGATTTAGCAGCTTCCATTGTCTATGTGCCTTCCGAAGTGCTCAAGACGAGAATGCAGTTGCAAGGAAAATACAACAATCCCCATTTTGTAAGTGGATACAATTACAAGGGAACATGGCATGCGGCAAGAACGGTAAGCGTGAGAGCTTAAAAGGAGAGATAACTGTGATAGTAATACGCTGTAGATTGTCAAATACGATGGACTGGATGCCTTGTTTCATGGATTCAGAGCCACTATTTTGCGTGATGTGCCTTACTCTGCATTGCAATTTGCTTTTTATGGTAATTCTTAAGACGAAATGTATACACCTCCAATCTGGATCTGCATACTGACACACTTTGTGGGGATTTTGTAGAGCAATTCAAAAAGTTTGCCAAAAACAACTACGTCAAACCTGGAGAGCAATTACCCGTTGGCATGGATTTACTGACAGGTTCACTGGCAGGAGGCATTGCAGGCGCAGTAACAACACCATTGGACGTGGTAAAGACGCTCTTACAGACACAGCCTACCGAAAAGGGCAAAAAGAAGGACATCATAGCAACTACAGCGACAACAACAACAGTCAAGCACTACAATGGCATTGTGGATGGATTAATATGGAACTACAGCAATCAAGGACTGGCTGGTTTATTTCGAGGTATTGGGCCTCGTGTCTTTTGGACCAGTCTTCAAAGCGCCATTATGTTTGTCATTTATGAACAAGTGTTGCATTTGGAAGAGGATTTACGTAAAACAGAAGATTGGCCACCATCCAGATTAGCCACTAGGATGGCATCTTTATAGAACATTACATAGACACACACACACACACACACACACACACACACACACACACACACACACACACACACACACACACACACACAATTGTACATATTAAATATTTATCTTAAATGTCTTGCAGCAGAGCTTTTATGATTCTTTTTCCAGCATGTAGATTATGTAATCGAATACGTTCGTTGGGTAAATGGGCCTGATCGGATGACTGACCAAATGGTATATGAATAGCAGGTGCTTTGCAAACCTTTTCCAACCATCGCACTGCTGGAATAGAGCCACCTTCTCGAATATACAGTGGTTTTATGTGCCATTCGTTTTCAATGGCTCGTTCAGCTGCCTTAAAGTACTCACTGTCTGGATCGCCTAGCCAATAATCTGCAGAACTCTGAATGTCGACCTAAACACACACACACACACACACACACACACACACACAACGAAATTAGCCTGGATTCACTAGAGAGAATGCAGAATGGGTACCTTGATTTGGTTATCAGATTTCAGCTGATCAAAGATTTGATAAACATAGATCTTGAGATTGTTGCAGATATCTGAAATCTCCTGGTTTGGGACGATGCGCATGCTGATGGTGGCTGTAACCGAGTTTGAAATGATGGTGGGATTATTGACAGACACATCCACCTTGTGTACTGTCAATGTTGGATATCTCCAGCGCGACATGAGCTGATTCTTGATCTGATCCCGCGATTGATCTGCTGCCATACAGCTGCTATTGCTGGCTGCTTCATCATCGTCACTGAATGCATCTGAATTGAGTGAGGGCGAGGTGACACATGAATGCTGCGAGCGACTCTTTGGCAGAGGCAATGCCTTGGACCTGCGCATCATATATAAGTAATGGAACAAGATACATTTGCTGAAGTTTTACTTACGACTGTATCCAATCTACAATTGGCTCGTATAAGCGCTCCTCAGAAGGTGTTATAGGCAATACGTCTTGGTAAAAATCTATACAAAATTGAACATTGGACTCTATATACAGCTTACATGCATACCTGGAATAAGCACTCGTATTTCACAATCTACCAATTTACCAACGACATGCACCAAGTCAATCAATGGCTCTGAAATGGCACCGCCCTCTACACCCGAATGAAAATTAGGCAAGCCGCTTGACACAGTGATATCAGCACGAACAACGCCTCGTAGACCGTAGGTGATGCAAGGTATATCTTCTCCAAGCCAATACGAGTTGCTCAATAGTATCAGATCGATGTCTTGAAGCAGGCTATGATGATTTGTCAAAGCTTCCAAAAAACCGCTACTACCACACTCTTCTTCTCCCTCGATCAAGAAGATGACATTGACATCCAATGTGTTTTCTTTGAATAGTTCATGCACAGCGAGTAAGGAAGACACAATTGGACCCTTATTGTCACTGGTTCCCCTACCGTACAGATAGCCATTGAGACCAGTCAGTTTGAACGGATCCTTGAGCCATTCGTTTTTCTGGTTTTCTACAGGCATCACATCATAATGACCATAAAAGAGTACCGTGTGCGGTGTGCGCTGTAAATGGGTCGTTGACTGGTCTTGAATAGATGTTTGTGGACGATGGTTACATTGATTCGCAGAGAACTTGGCATAGACCAAAGGGTTCTTCCCAGCAATACTGGGAATCTGGATGAGGAGTTAATGTAAACAGTAATTAAGACATGAGTGGTACGTTACCAATTGACTGGTAGCACCCAGTTGTTGCATGATATTCTTGAGATATTTAGCTCCTCGACGACACTCCTCCAAGTATTGAGGCTGTCCACTGATGGTTCGAATCGATATCCATTTCTCGAGGATGCGCAAGAGTAAATCTAAAGGGTGACATACTAATGTCAGTCAACCAGCGTAGCCATGATATATGCATGTGGCATCATTACCACTAGGATTGCTCGCATGCATCAGACCACGTAAATGCGGCTCACCGCTGGTTTTTGACATGTCACTGTTTAATGATGCCGCTACATTCCACATTTTGATAGAGTGATTGCTGCTGCCTGTGATCAAGTAGTCGTTTGATTGTACCATAGATAGAATAATGCCATTTTCTTGGTCAACGACCTCCTTCAAGCAAAACGCCTCGTTCCAAATCTGCCATCCATCATGTCAGCCACCTGCGCAGAGACGACTTTTGTACTATGTTTACCTTGATAGAGCCATCAGCAGAAGCACTTACAAAGCCATTACAGTGAGCAATGACAGACAGCACATCGTCCTACATGACAAGATTGCTTTGATGAGTATGCTAAATACGGCAAATGGCATGAGGAGCAAGAAATCCTTACCGCATGTGCCGCCACCGTCTTTATCAGTTGATACTACAGAAAAGGAAAAGCCGATGCGGATCCGTCAGTCAACAGACACACATTTGAGCCAACGTAGCTTACCGTTTCAAGATCCCAAATCTATCCAAAAGTAAGTTGATGAGCAAAAAGTCGAGAAAATGGCACAATATTCAAACCTACCTCAACATGGCCACCTTGTACACCACAAAACAAATAGCCCTCATCAGATATGGCTAGGCTCAAAATGCCTCTGTCAGGGTCACCACCTGTCAGTGTTTGATGATGCTGTAACATGTTATTGGCTTGAATGGACCAGATCTAGCGTACGGATAGAGCATGTAAGCATTAAATGGGTGTGCGTATACAGTTCAAATCACCTTGACATGGCCATCACCAGAGCCTAAACAAGAGAGTCAGTTCATGATACATGTGAATGGTAACTTGCATGTTACCTGTAAGTAATACTTGTCCTGCCAGATTGGGTATATCTTGTGCGTATGTCATACTATAAACATAACCATCATGAGCATTAGAGTAAACATTGCTTGTTCGGATGACACATTGAGCTACTGCTGCATCTTGTTGAATAAACTGTTTGGATGAATGCAGGCCCAAGTCATGAAACAGTTTGAAGAATTGCGTCTTTTGGCAGCCGTTCTCGTTCTTGTTGTTGTTGTTGTTGATAAGACGCTGTTGTTGGGGAGCCTCCTTAAAATCGTACCATTGAATGCTGGTGTTTTGACAACCAAAAAAGAGCACTCGATTGGGTGTGTATACCATTGAAAAGATGTCACCTACATCATGGCATGAATGAATGACTCGATCGCATTCTAATGTATCAATGCTCCACACTCGCACTGTGCCATCGCCTATAATGGGTGTGAGCCAGCGAGCATGCATTGAGTTGTATCTGATTCACTTACCAGAGCTGCTGAATAGCCATTGCTGATCTGTAGACAGAGTCAATCCCAACACACTGCCATGGTGTCCTTGCAATACAGTGACTAGTTGAAACGTGTCAAGGCTCCACACATGAATCGCAGATCCCTGACTGCCAGAGAATAAGTACTTTTTGCTACAAGCAAGCGATAAGACAGAGGTGTCGTCGTCGTCTTGGTTTGTAATGGCATGTATGCAACGGCTGGCTGTTTGATCGCCGCTACTACTACTACCTATATGTTGGCATGGTGGATGAGTGATTTGCTCTATATGGCATGCAATCATGTATCTATATGTACCAAAAGGATTCGAATGTACACTGCTGGGTGAAGTACTAAAAGGGGATACTGTCATTTGTCTTTTATCGTTGAACGAAAGAGAAGAAGAAAAAAAAAGAAAAATCAAAAAGGAATGAACATAAATATGGCAAATCAGGGGCTGAAATCAGACATTCGCTTTTCCCCTGAGCGGACTCGCTCGCAAAACAAATGGTAAGTGAGGCCAGACATGGATCAAATGATGTTACAAAGCGTGCTCAGTGTATACAGATCTTTGATTGAAGCCTGTTCTGTCTTTGTTGAGTTGATGCTACGGTGAAATAAGCATACCAAATGCAGGTAAATTGCATAACGGTTTGTGTTGCTATGTTCACTCATTTCACAATAAAGAGCCTTCATCTGGTAGTATCATGCAATCATCAAGAATCAAGCGGTGTCTTAAAGGAAGCTACCTCTGCCATGTGTCACAGTAAATCTCTTGGAACATTGCTGTTGTATCCATGCTTCTAACTGCGTTCACCTTGTTTGCTTTTGACACTAGCATATGGGTATAATTATCAGTTAATAGCCCATATTAACCGCCCTCTTTAAACTGATAATAGTAAAGGCTCGAGCTCATCGTTAAAGTACCATATGCGAGTTCTTTGAATAGGCTGAATTTGTATCTTGTCGTTAGGATTCCCTTCTAGAAGAGCATTTTGCAACAAATAAAACTATCAAATATAAAAATATGCAGCATAAAAAGCAGAGATCAAACGACACAAAGCAAACATGCTATTTTATAGTGCTTTTTGAGTTTGATATTCTTTTATTACTTCTAAAAGCATCAATTGTCATCATAACGAAGGCATTAGAGCTTTTGCAGCCAGAAAATTTAAACGCCCGCTAGCCATTTTTCTATCCTGTTTTGTTAATTTCGGGCAAAAAATCGACCTGTTTGATCTATTTTGTAGGATTTGACTATATAAAAAGTGATTGTCATTCTATCGTTCCTTAAGCTTTCTTGGAGTACTTTTCAAGGCGCTTCCAATGGTGTCAATAAAAATAGATGCTTTGAATAAGCTTAATGAGCAATGTCATGAAATATGAAATGAGGTTTTTGGCGAAAATGTCAAGATTTTACATACAAAGATGTTATAAACAAGGTTTTAAAGGCTGTTTTGGATCGAGAGGACCATTTTGATTCAATATATGCCTTAGTAAAAATCTTCATTTTCGCGGTTAAAAACGCGATCGTTTGATTTTCGATGAAATCCATGAGGTATTGCTCATGGTTTTTGGTCGATTTTTGACGATCCCAAAAAAGTTGAGCAAAAATGTCAGGAAGCAAGTGCTAGTTGAGAGCAAACATTTGGTGCAATTTTGGCGGTCTAAAACGGCTTCTAACGCGAAAAATCAGTGCTGAAATACATCAAAATTTCACTGTGAATTGCATATATGCGAGTGGTATGAGGTAATGCAAGTATGCTGTTTGCCCGTATATGAATTGTTCCCCCTTGATACTGACGTGGAGCATCGCTGAGAAATCGGATCCATCGCTGCCGGTCCATTGTAGGCAGCTTTCACATGATAGAATATTCAGTGTATATCAGTAGGATCACGGAAAAGAGACTTCCTACAGCATAATTCCAATGTAAAGGCACTTTTTTCTAGCATCAAACTACTGCTTTTATATACTGCCTCTTATCATACACTTTAGATTGGACTTCAAAGGCATACATCAAAAAGTCTCTGTACGACATGTTTGAATTGAGCATGATGTTTGATACACCTGTAAAATTGGATGGATCAGATACATAAATAGCAGTAGGCATCAAGTTTATTTCAAGCGCATTGACCTACGAGCATTGGTGCGGTTTTTGTAAATCAAAGGGTCTTGTGTCGAATCAACTAGGACCATCACACAACGTGCCGCTCAGTGCGATGTTACATTACAATGATCTCAGTACTGATGTGTTGGTTTTTCGATAGATTAGATTGTTTGTTCATATCTACAAGTAAACAGAACAATAGCAAACATGAACAGAGTGCTGTGGATATGTATCAAAAAGACATGGTAGCAGCTATGAGTGTGGGTTACATAGGCCTTATCACAGACAGACAAGACTCCACAACTTGAGTGATTAAGCTCCCGATCGCCCTATTTCCTTCTTTGCTTGCCATACTTGCTTCATCTCCACCACACCTTTACTTGACCAGCCCATAAAAATTTATTTTTCCTTTTCTCTTTCTTTTCACCTCTTTCTCTCATCACTCACACTTTATATTATATATATATATATATATATATATATCCCCTCATTACACGATGAAATTTGGCTCGCAGTTGAAGGATGCAATCTACCCTGAGTGGACTCCTTTCTACATTGACTATGATGGCTTGAAGAAGAAGCTGAGAAAGGCTGAAAAAGACAGACCTTTTACTGAAAAGGATGAGACAGAGTTTGTAGAGTTACTGGATAACAATCTTGAAAAGGTAGTGCTGGACAGGGCGTGTGTTCTAGAAGATAGACTGAACAGCTGCTTGTAGGTATACGCCTTTCACCAAGAGAAAATCGAGGAAATCAAAAAGAGTATTGAAACCTACGATGACAAAATCAACAACCAAATCCCTAGCCAAGATACCACTGACATGAGCTCTATTCAAGAAAACATCAATTGGATTGCTGATGACATCAACCGTCTTGCCCGCTACTCTCGTATCAACTACACTGGCTTTCTCAAGATTGTAAAGAAACACGATCGCCATACAGAGTACGTTCTTCGCCCCATGTTCATGGTGAGATTGAATCAGTGTCCCTTTTGGAACGAGGATAACGACGGTCTCTTGATCAAACTGTCTGAGCTGTTTGCCAAGGTGAGAGATGGTGGTATGACAATGTCTTTCAAACCTACTTCACAGGCCATGAACGTTTTGGACGAACAAACAAACAATGAGCGTCGCTTGGTTGTGAAACGTTTCTTTGTTCAAACTGAAAACGTATTGGAACTTAAAACCTATGTGCTTCGTCATTTGCCCGTCTTGGTGTATCGCGACAATAGCAAAAAGCAAGATAACATCGACCCTCCCATCTCCTCGGTGTATTTGGATAACGCTGATTTAGATGCCTACAACTCTCGTGTGGAGGCTGCTGAGGGTTCCCAGATCATTCGTTTGCGTTGGTATGGTAGCGCTAAAGGTAACAATGCCATTGGCTTTGAGCGCAGAACGCTGGCAGAGGAGAACCGTGGTGAGTTGAAGGATCGCTTCACTATCAAGGACAAGTATGTCGCGGGTTTCCTGAAGGGCGATCAGACATTCATTGAGAAGGCTGTGCGCAAGTACAAGAACAGCGGTCGTTCTGAGGAGGATGTGCAAAAGTATGAGAGCTTGATCAAAGACGTGCAAAAAGACATTATGGAGAAGAATGAGCAGCCAGGTAGGATCAAACGTGAAAGCAAGAGAAATTCTCCGAGAATTCACACATGTGCACAGTGTTGCGTACCTATTATCGCAGAACAGCATTCCAAATCCCTGGCGACAGAAGCGTCCGCATGGCCTTGGACACTGATTTATGCTTTATTCGAGAAGATTCGCAACTGTTCCCAGACGACAACACAGTGCGTCGCCCTGCTGACAGCTGGAGACGACCTGACGCTGACACCAATTTCCCCTTTGACAATCTCAAGAACGAGAATGACATTAATAGATACCCTTTTGCTACATTTGAAATCAAACTTGAATTGGCACCAAACGAGAAGGAACCTGAATGGATTGTTGATTTAGAGGAGAGCGGCATTCTGGAGGAGGCATTTGATTTCTCCAAATTTGTCCATGGTATTGCTGTCATGTTTGATACACGTGTGCCTCTGTTGCCTTACTGGCTGGCTCAAATGGACAACGATCTGCAAGAATTGCCTACATTACCTTCTAATGCACCTTCTGTCAGTCAAAAGAATCATAAGGGCAAGAGTAAAGCACCCAGTGAAGTGGATTCCATCCATTCGGAGTCTCGTACACGTGCCCCCTCCTCCTCCAATGAACGTTCTTCCTTACTAGGTACACAACATACCACATCTTATATGGGTACGCACAATGAAGCCTCCGCTGCCTCTACCATTGCTGAGGAACAAGAAGCGAGCTATCCCTCCAAGATAATCGACAATATTAGCTCTGTATTTGACAAATTCATGGGTAAATCAGGCCATCTTAGCAAGCAACAGCAAGAACAACGCGAAAGACAACTCAATGCTGCACCTGTCATTTTACCACCTGGCGTCAAGATCCCTAAAAAGATGGTGACACCACTACGTGTGGAACCCAAGGTCTTTTTTGCCAATGAACGAACCTACTTTTCATGGATGTCCTTTGGTACTTTGATCTCCACCTTCTCGCTTGCCTTGTTCAACTCGGGAGATGCTGTTGGTAAGTTGAGTGGTGTCGTCTATACCCTAGTATCTGTATCCACTTTGATGTACGGTATGGGTCTTTACTATCGTCGTCGTGAATTGATCCATAATCGTGCTGCTGGCCCTTATGATGAATTGGTGGGTCCTACAGTCATTTGCTTTGCCCTCTTGTTTGCCGTTGCATTGAACGCATACCTCAAATTCACTATCAAATCTCCCTCTTTATTCTACCTTTAATCCAAGTGCAGTATACACACACATCTTATTGCTATTTTATTCATCTGCTAGATTCTCTGTTGCTTTCCCCTGCCCCCCCCATTCCTCTCCTCAACATCGACCTCTGTGTCCTGCTATTGTCTTGAAACGATAAAACTATTACATATATACATATTTTCAAAACAAGTTGTACTAATCATTATTATCCCCCCCTATCGATAAAAAAGATATTTGTAACTATTACTACGGAAAGGGATCATTTCCGGTTAAAAGCCGATCTCTTGAGAAATCTTACAAAAACGAATTGATGCAACACTATAAATAGGCAAATGCGCATAGGAATCATGTGTGAAACGAGCATTTGCGCAGCAGGCTTACATTATAATCTCTGTCGTTGTTCTCGGCGTGTTAATCTATACGTATACTCTTCAGTGCAAGGGATGCTGCTCGACTGTGTTGCTTTGTTCGCTCACATTGATATACATAAATCCAATATGGATTCAAGCAAGTTGATCAACTCGGCTTGTTGGTAGCTGACACGAAACTTGCCATGACACACAACAGTAAACAAAGCTTGATTTGGTTTCAATTAGCATATTCATGCTTGTTATACATGACACAACAGATCTCTAGATATATATATAACTCATCTGGCTACAATAACAATTCATCCATCATTCATCTAAACGCTTCAATCATACAGGCAGCAGGATGATGCTCATCAAGTCAATTAAAGTGTTAACGTATATATTGCAGTTATAGACACGTATGAAACTAGATATCAAGGTAAATCGTAGTTGTTGGCATGATTAACAGGTATACAATAGACTTGTTGCTGCGCGTTTTCGTCGGGATCATCTCTCTTTTATATAAAGCAAGATCAACTTTGTGTCGTATCTCTTCCTCTTTTTCTTGCTGAATAAGATTCGAAATGAAAATTACTAGCACCCTCGTTCTCAGTTCTTGGCTTCTGTCTTGTGTTGCAGCTGCTGCAGATACAGCCACTCTATTTGAGGTGAAAGATGTCTTCAGAGAGCCCAAGAACATTGCGTTCATGGTCATGTCTGGCGGTGCATCGCATACCAATTGGGTGCTGGCATTCATGGAAGAGCTTTCTGCTAACCGTGGCCAAAAGACATACTTTATCACAAGAGTAAGTTTGGCAGTGAGCGGATGACCGTATATATATATAGGCTATCTAAGACCTAAAGCAGGATGACCACGTCAAGTTTGGCCACAGTTTTCCATCTGTTGACACTGTATCCATAGGACCCAAGTATGCGTTCGATGACAAGAAGATAGAAGTCATCAAAAAAATGCGCGATAGGCCCATGGTGGAATCATTTATAGACATGTTTTCATCCTTCAATGAAGAATTCGAGTCAGGTACTCTTTGTGATTTACAGCTACTGTCAGCAATGTGAGCTTCTTACCCTTTCACTGTCTTGCCAGATTACATTAGCATCATCAACACGCTCAAATCAAAGAAGATTGATCTTGCCATCTGCGACCATTTCAGCACGCCGTGTGTTGAGGCATCCACCAAGCTCAAGATTCCCTTCATCATCACGTCTGGCATGGCTTTAGGTCCTGACGCTGGGGCTCCATACATTAATAACAATATGTTGACCATGAGTGAGCCAAGCACAGTTAACATGTCTCTATGGCAGCGCTTCGATACCACGTTCCTCAAACCAGCGCATTTTATCTACAAGTTGCGCCACTTTGCTAAGGAACAGCATGCGTTATTCACATCATTAGGCATTGAAGATCCAGTCAAAGTACCCGAAGATCGATGGAGGGATTCTCTCAAGATTGTCAATTCAGCGTTTGGATTCGAGTTGGCTAGGCCATTAGGCCCTCTTGTTGAACTTGTGGGCCCTATTACCACCATTAAGGCGCCTCCATTGACACAAGAGTTGGCTCGGTTTATGGAAACGCACAGCAAAGTAGCTTATGTTGCTTTTGGGCAACATGTTGTTGTATCTCCCAAGGACATCCAGCTCTTGTTGTCGGGTTTACTGGAAGCGTATGAAGCAAAAGAGCTAGATGGCATTATTTGGGCTACTCGCGGATTGGAAAACGAGTTTCCAGATACACTGACCACTGCATCCAATAGGACCTACAACATTCAATCCTTTTTCCAAGACAACGGCAGCAAGGACATCAATTTCATCAACTGGGCTCCTCAAATCGCTATCCTTAATCACCCCTCCACTAGCATGTTTATCACGCATGGTGGTGCTGGATCCTTGTATGAGTCTTTGAACGCTGCCGTGCCTGTCGTTGTGTTTCCCTTCTTTGGCGATCAACCTGCAGCTGCTAAAAACGCTGAAAAGAATGGTTTTGGCATGAGATTGGATTACAATGAGCCACAAGAGCGAGCCACTGAGATTATCCGAACAGTGGCAAGAGATCAAGGCAATCACTTTCGAGAGAATGTCAAGCGATTTCAATTTTTAGTGCAATTAAACAACAAGATTGGCGTTAGCAAGGCTGCTACTTTGGTAGAAGAGGTACTATTTACGCATCAAGATGGCCAGCTGTTGCATCGTCGTGATGTAAAGAGAGATATGACCTTCTTTAAGGCTTATAACCTGGATCTGTACGCTGTCGTTTTGGCAGTGCTTGTTGCGAGCATCATAGGCTTGACTCAATTAGCGAAAAAAGCAATTGGTAATTATCGTAATGATCATAAACTCAAAACCAACTAGTAATAAACTATTTTTCATTTATTTGACAATGGAGAGTGCTATTATGTAGTTGAGTATTATTTACTTTCAACATGGTGTATTTACAATAGAAGGTTAGAATTTTGCGAAAATGGCAGCAAGAGCAACGGTGGCATCAATATGAGCTAAATTACAAGCATATTTATAGCCCTTCTTGACTTCCTTGATACGGCCTGGCTTTTTGCTTCTTTTGGCTGACAGCAGCATTTCCTTGTCTTTCTCAAGGTAACCAAATGGATTGATTTCGGTTTTGTCGATCCAGCCCCTACGTTGCTGTTAGAACCCTGATGTATTACAGCTTGTATAAATAGTATAACTTACCACATGTGTGAATCACTCACTTCAAAGAATTCAACAAGCACATGAAGTTTGTCTGTCTTTGTGAGCGCAAGCACATTATCAGGAATCTTCTTTTTGGTATGTTTGGGATCAACAATGCTTGCTGGATGTGGTGGAAAGCCTCTTACACGGGCCCAAACAAGTTCTCCGTCTGTGAATTTGACTGTAGTAGGTGGTTTGGCGGATGAAGGTGGTGGTAAGGTTGAGCCTGATGCGTCTCTCAGCTTTCTATCGGATTTATTTGTGGTGGTGGTGGTGGTTGATTTTGCTGGTGGATTTCCTTCCTTGGATTGCCTCTTAAAGTAGGTATCAATTGTTTTCAGCCTTGGCTGTGATAAAGATGATGAGATTTTTCTGGTACGTTTGAGTTGAACCTTGGTTTTCGGCGTTGTGGATGCGATAGGCATAGATGATGGCAATTCAGATTGTGTGGGCGAAGTCGTGCGTTTGCGCTTTCGAGAGGTGGTAGCGGAAGTAGAGGGTGACAGTGAGGGTGTAGAGGACAATTCGGGTTCGGTTTGTTCCGCTCGTCGTGATCGCAATGAACGTGAATCGAAAGTCTGGGCTGTTTTGATGCCTGATCGAGTGCGCTTTTTGATACTATCTGGCGAATCTTCATCACTAGCAGCTCTCTTTCTGTGCGCTGTTGCATGCTGGTTGCTATCATTGGTACTACTTGAACTGCTTGTGCTCTGAGATAAGTCGATGGCGCTACTCAAACTACTGACACTGCTCAGATCAGGCACATGTTCCTTTTCTGTAGTAGTCGCCAAGGGCACTAATGGTGGTGGGAAAGGCGGTGCTGTGTATCCTGGGGGTAATCCATAGTCGAAAATATCGGGATCAATATCGACATCCAACGCACCAGATTCATTGCGAATTTGAAGTGCTTTAAAGTCTTCATGCGCTTCCACGAGCAACTCTTCTGCTTGTTTCTGGAGTTTTTGAGCCAATCTGTAGTAAAGCGTCTCCTTCTTGTTGTAAAATAAACAGTTCTTCCAGATCAGATTCAAATCATACTATGTCCATGTCCATAAATGCCACGTCCTGTTGAATACAGCTAGAGAAACTTACCTCAAATTCATCCACTGTAGAGTACTGATGCAAGGCCAACTTTTCTTGTATCTCTGAAAACGACATGGGTTCCTCAATCACTTCGTAATAATCTGGCGCTAGATCCAGAGACACTGGATACCTGAAGAACTCCTTTTTGTCCATGGCCATCAGCTGTCGTAATATGGGATGCACAATGAACTCCACAGGATAGAGTATCATTTCAAGGTAGGCTTTCTGTTTGCGAACTCGATCCAGCTTGTGTCTTTCTCGCTTCTGCACTTGTTCTGTCAGCATTCTCACTTTTTCCAAATCTGCTCGTAGACTCATCATGGACTATAAATTAAAAAAAAAATATGAGAATATCGAATACATTTCGACAGTGAGTTCAAGAAGCTTACAGATGCTTTTTGTGCTTTTTCCACTTCAGATTGCTTCAATTCGGATGACGATGCTGTCCATGGCTACCAAAGGGATCAGTTGACTAAAATACAGTTGCCAAATATACTACGTACCTCCAGGTGAAGTCGCTTCAGTAAGGGTGCTCCACGTCTCGACTCACGCTTCAAGGACCAGTATCGACAAATGCTAGCAATTAGATTGTTCTTTTTTTTGATCTTGGCTTGTCGTACACAAGGCAGGTTTTCCAATTTATCCAGCACATATTCAGGGGCGATAGGTGCGCCTGCTGTATACTGATGTTGATGAGCTCTCGCAGCCTTCGAGGTGGGCAGTAATTTGGTTTTCTGCTGCTGCACATTGTAATCATACGCATCGTCCTCTTCCTCATCTACATAGCGTCTACGAGGCATCACGTGCTTGTGTTCTATAAACCACTGCTGCGCTGCTGCCAAATTAGCATCCACATCCACCGTCTCTTTGTAATCGCGAGGTGTATGTCGATCACAGTAAGCCTTCAAGACAACACCATCATAATGCGTGCCGTGCAATTTCATGCGCATACAGAGTCGAGCCCATCTTGCACAGGTAACATGAAATGCCACAAAGCAATGCTTGTTATCGCACTGAATACAAGCGCCATGACGACGACGGCAAATGTAACAGCTAAGCTTCCATCGACTCTTGGGCACACTTTCAATGTTATCAATCGGTTCCATGTAGACACTGTTGCTCAAACTGACTTCAGGAATCCACACAGCACAGAGCAAGTGGCCCCATTGATTGGTTGTGGTTTGCTTGAACGCGCCACCTTCACCAGGACAGAATATGCACGACACTGGATTCTCTGGTGATACCATGCATTTTCTACATAGCCATTGTCCTTCGGGGATATATGGGATGCCGTAACAATCTTGATGCACTGCTAGATTACATCCATCACAGAATACAATGGCGTTGCTGTTCTCGCATTCTCCATCATCGCACACTGCACATTTTGAGTCTTCAGGCAAAATGGGATCCTCTGCTGTCTTTTTGGGCAGGTTTTTAATCTATACCAGTTGGATGAGTCTCTGTCTGTTTCTAGAGTTGGACCTGACAGCTTACCAAATTAAACCACTCTTTTTCCAACTGATCAATGATGGCTTCAAATAGCTCGCCTGAGATTTGACCTGAATTTTCTTTTCTGCGCTCTTTGTTGTATATCTGCAACCATACTTCGTCTGTCATTTTAAAGTGTGAGCAGATCTGTGATTTTTGAGTATTGCCAGCATACCAATTTACCTTGCTCATCCATGTCGTATTCAATGGTGGTAAATAGTTCAGATTCTGACGGTTCTGGAGCGATCAATAACTCTTGTTTTTTAAAAAAAAAATTATGCTTTTTACAACATGCATTGATGCAACTTACCAGTATAGCGAATGTAATGGTTCTCAGGACGATGAAATGCCTGCACAACACCAGTTTCTTCCTTTTTGTTCTTTTGCTTTTGTGGCTTGATCTTTTGATAAGACGGTATAGGTAACTTATGCAATGGATTTGCTACCGTCGCCATCGCTATTGCCGCTGCAGAGGAAGACTCCCCCTCTGACGCTGTTTCGTATTCATCAATGGAGGGTGATTTTGGTGTGGGCGCAGATGGTGTATGGTGAACAGTCTGTTTGAATGACGATTCTGGTACCTTGATGATGGCTAATGGCTCTCTTATGTCTAAATCAGGGAAGAAATCCTTGTAGGAAAGCTCTTCTCTAGGTTTATCAAAAGGGCCCTTTTCAGTCGCTTGCTGTTGTTGTGTTTGGGTATTTAGTTGCTGTAGAATAGAAGGAGGAGGTGTTTGTTTCTGTGCTGCTGATGGACTCTTTCTGGGTCTACCTCTTTTATGTACAGTTGTATTTGAGAGCATGGTTTCTTCTTCTTCTTCAACAGACATATTCAAAGAGAAAGAAAAGGGAGAAATGAAATGAAATGAAATGAAAAGAGTGAGAGAGAATGAAAATATTTTAATCGCGAATTTTGAAGGGTGTACAGGAATGCCCTTATATTTTCAAGTCATACTGAGCTTCAACACAGTTTCCCACTGCCAAATGACCTTGGTCCAGAATGGCCAATGAATCCAATGTATTGCATGTCAATGTTATCTGATTCGTAATCAGCTCGCAGCATTTTGACCAAAACATACTTGGCAGATCTGCTCTCAATATGAGTTGTCTAGACGAAATGTTGTGTAGACGGAGCCTACCTGAAATCAAGGTCAATCACATTGGTTCTATCATTCGTTAGACTGAACCAAGCAACTGGATCCGTGTCTTCCAGCATGCCATTTTTGTGTAACTTGTTGGCAATGTATTGATCATAGTCATCTTTGGTGAATTTATCGAATTGAGATGTATCTAGTGCGCTGCTTGTGAGTATGAAATGAGAGGGGCAGATGGTTTGTACAGAATGCTACCTGAAATATTGATCACTTTGTGTGAAATGAAAATCATGCCATCTCGACCTACATGATGTCGACAGTGTGAGTACATGCAAACAAGACAAATCGTTATAGTTCCATACAAGGCGCTGTAAATCTATGAATGGGCTGTGTTAGACATTGTGTATCACTAGGTAGACAGGATGGCATTACCCATGCTGTGGTGCTTTGATAACTATCTTGGAAATAGAACAGCTTTTATCTGCTGCAAGACCACTTTCAATGTATCCACAATACTGAGCCAAGATATTGACTGTCCCTTTTCTACCAGAGCTGTATACATAATCGTATATCTGTTAATGGGCCACTGAATAGCTATAGTCTGATAAATTATACTTGCCAGTAGACTGATCCATCGTTCAACAGCAGATTTTCAATGCCATACATGGCCCTACCCCCCCCCCCCAAATTTTAGCATCATGTAATACTCATAAAATCATATACTTACCCATATTGGCCACCATCATCATACAAAACCTCAAAAGCCAACATATTCACTCTCGTACTTTGCCCTTGTTGCAGTAGTGGGCTTGTATTGTAAGCACGATCATTCAGACACTGTTGACCATACATGAAACTGGTAGCATTCGGTCTGGGAAACGAGCTATCTGCTGGCAAAACAGGACCAATATGATCCACTTCTTCTCCAACATCCTGCTCGCTATTGATTCGCTGCATTGCACTCAGTCGTCTTGTCCATCGAGCACTGGGTGGAGGCAATTCGAATATACCACTACCACGGCTATTGGTGCTTAATCGGCCTAATGGTGTGTGTCGACGTCTTGTTTGCTGTTGCATTGATGGTGGTAGTAGAGGTTGGTGCATGGTAGCAGCTAGTGGCATATTTTGTTGTTGCTCTTCTTCGTCTTCTTCGTCGCCATCTGTCACAATGGATGTGTATATTTCATCGAATATGGAGGCTGTCAAGATGGGAGATACTTCAAATGCTGAAGTAGGCATCATGTCTTCTGCTGTAATAGGTGGAGAAGATCTTTGAATCAGAGGCATTTTCGTTTTGATTTTCGTTTTGATTTTCGTCTCGAAATAAAGCAGAGATGAAAAAGAGAAACGAATTGATATGCTACATTTGATTTGCATGAATTTTGATGCGTTACGCTATGTCTGTCGTCAAACCGGAATGGCACATCAAGGTGACTGGGGGAGAGTCTCGGTAGTTATAGTAAGAGTGACATCCGGTTCTTTATAGGTTTGATTTATCAAATCATGCAATCATCATACTGCAAGTTATGGCTATGCTCTTGCGCAGCACAATTGCATTTTACTGACAGAATCTGCAAACTCCCGTTGTTCATCCAACAGACAACTCAATTACAAATGCTCAGAGCATAGCAATAATACAAAAAAAAACAGCCCACGGCTGATTCTGCGCTCGTTGTTTCTCCTGTCCTTTTACTCGTCTTCCCGCTTGACAAACAAATAATGAAAACCGAGCCAAATAAATGTTGGCGTCAGTAGTAACAAATAATCTTGCCGGAGTATGCTACTACAAGATGTCGCTTCCATCCAGTCAAGCAATTTACACGGTCGTTTTGTCTACCTTTCTCGAGGAAATTTGTCAGTTTACAATCAAGGCTTCATGTACCTTGTAAAATGCCTAAATGTTATGAAAGATCTGCACACAAATGTTCATTGAGTCTTTGAATCATGAAGCAAAAGTAGCAAAGATATGTTAACCAACACAAGGTACAAGCGAGCATTTTTTTAACTGCTAATGCTGCTTGTATCAAGAAGCATGCATCGTCTTTTGCTTTGATGCTCACAGGAATATCTTCATCTGGCCGATTTCTCAAATACCAGCCAAACACTACTATGAACAGCAGAAAATACACTCGATTGCATTTGGTTTTCTATCCAACCATGAGGTTGTGTATAAGGATTGGCAGGAGCGACGATCAACGGATGTGATATATGTTGGAAATGCACAGACCAACAAATTTGCACATGTATTACAGCACTATGCTTTGCGGCATCATGCGTTCTTGAGGCTATCATTGCAGTACTGAATTCTGCTCTTTTCATCTCTTTTAGCTTAGTAAAGCTAATGGCGTATCTCACCATAGATAAAATGTTCTTGTTGCTAGCGTATTCTTTCCTTCCAGAGACGCATCAGTGAATACGTAGCAAATTGCAACTATTATAAACAAGGCTGAATCAAGTTAAATTTAGTTGAAACATGGTATGTATGTTTCTCTGATATTGAATAGAGTCTGACTGAACTTAAAGAATGTCAATGGTACTTACAAATGTTGCATGAGAGTCTTTATATAATTAAACGTTAAATACTACAGTATTATCATGAAACTGGAAATCAGGAGGAAAAGATGAGAAAGTGTGAAGGAAAATGAAAGAATAAGATATATAAAATGTAGAACATTATAGGAATATGCGGTTTTAAGCCTTGATACGGTATGGATCAGTCTTGTTCTTGTACACAGACTCACTCCAGACGAAATCTTCTTGGATCTTCTTGTAGCGGGTAGCGCAACTCCAGCCTTGCCAGTCTTCAGTGCATGCAAAAGTTAGCTTTACACAAACTTACAGCCATTTCATAAATATACATACCAAAGTTTTGCTTCTCATCACACCAACAGTTCTTTTGAAGGAAAGGATCAGTAGGACAATGCATCAAGGGATTGTGCTTATAACCAATGTCATTGAAGAAATGGACCTCAGAGGTCTTTAGCAACATGGCAACAGCAATAGAATGTACAGGAGCATCACCCCATCTAAACATTGAATTGAGTAAATTACCATACACAACGCAAATTCACATTATTACCTCTCATAGAAGAAACCACCTTGCTTGTCCAAATGCTCAAAGTACTTCAAGTAAGGTTCACTTCTCAAGAAATCAAGGGAGCCAATCTGTAGCACTCCATGTTAATCTCCAATCTAAGCCTTACCCAGCATCTAACATTACCTCAAAATTAGACCAGAAATGGCAACCATTGTATGACTCAAAATCATTATCAGTAAGCCAGGGCATCAAACTATCCTCACCCCAATTAATGTACTCTGGGTACTTTTCCATGTAAGCTTGAGTAGCATTCCAAAGGGTAGGAATGGTGGCCATGTATTCAGTCAATGAAAGAGTCCAACCTGGATATGGCTGGTGAGTATACGTGGTTAAATTGGCTTCAGTTTTGTCGCAGATGCTTTACCGTATTTGAACTTGTTGTCCTTCATCATTTGGAACACATCATAGTCAACATCACAGAAATATTGTACATCAGGTTCAACACGCCAGTAGTACTCAAAGTTATCAAGCAAGGGATGTCTAAAGAAAAAGCCAGATTGGAAACTAGGGTAATTTTGAGTCAGGCCCCAATGTTTCATGACACATTCACCCAATACACGTTACCGGCACATGTGTCTATAAGGTTCACTGCCACCATAAATGATCTTTCTATCGTGCATATCTTTTCTACATTCGGCAGCATAAGTTTGATTGATGTAGTCAGGATATCCCCACATGTCTTCATCGATCTTGCCGTAGAAAGTTTGGGCGCTTGTCAAATCACTAGTCTTTTGCTTGAACTCATCAGTAAAAAACTCCTCGTTCAAGAACACATAGGGATAGTTGAACTTTTTGTTAAAGCGATCCTCCATTTGACGAATAGATTGACGGATGCCTTGCAAATCAGAGTTTCTAGCCAAGATAACAAATGCGGCCTTGACACGATTGGGATCAATGACAGGCTTTTGCTTACCACCATGATGCACAGCAGCTAATGCTGCCATTTCTTGGTTTTCATGAGGCTCGAAGCCTGTGAGATCAGATTCATCATACCAATTATCAGCGAGTTGAGGACTTGCAGGGCGAGTTGATGGGAAAAAGACATAGGCGGTTGTACAAAAAACAGCAATGGCCGCAAGCAACTGTAAAAGGAGAGTCTGTCTCCTTTTTGTCATCATCATTTTGTAGATATAGAGTGGTGTAAGAAGGAGAAGCGAAGAAGAGGGCGAGATGTTGCAAGTAAGGCCCTTTTTATATACATTTCAAATCTCAAACAGCATTTTCTTCGCCTCTTCATTTCTATTTACATGAGCATTGCATGATGAATGTTGTGTGTAGCACAAATGACCCTCTCTATTTTTTTTTTTGACAGTTGAATTACACCACATTTCAAATTCAAAATTTTGAATTTGGGACTACCTTTAATGAAAAAAGCAATGTGGGAGTGGGCCAAAGGTAGTAGTCCATGAAAAATTTTTGCTCACTGACATGTGTATAAAAAAGCAACATCTGTGGCCACTTTTTCCTACTTTCTTCTCTTTTCGCTATATAGAATTTTGAAATCAACTAGCAAATAAGGTAAACTATTATTATATGTAAATATTGGTAAACATGTCATTTCTATGAAAATGGGAAATGTGACATTGTTGATGATTAAGTGATTCGCTGAAGTTGGTCCCATATACGCAACAGGGACCTTCTAACTTTATGAGTTATATCATTTACTTGCCCTCTCTGAAGTGCCATTTTTCTTCATTTTGATGCATGTTTGCCATTCAAATTTTCGTATTCATCATACTGACATCCTATTGTTAGATTGCATATATGTATTCTTGTAGATCAAATATCAATAAATTTTTTTTTAATACCTGAACATGTGTGTGGCTTTTTTAATTATATCGTTTACATTGCTTGAGGCATTCATCCATGAATTTAATATATGACTAAAATAGTAATGGATCCTCTTTTCTCTGATGTGCAACAGTAAACCTACATGCAACGTAAAATAAGCATCACTGCTCCATGTTGAAACCACATGTCTGCTCTGATGAGAGCTGCTTTTTTACCTCTTTCTTTGCCATGAAATCTTGGCATCTCGTCGTTGTAGGCGTTCTACAGCGGTGGTTGATATTTGCACCGGCTCCACTTGTGAATCTACATCAAACGGCCTTCGGTCAACAGGAAACATGTTTCTTCAGCAAAATTGGTCAGGACTTTCGTCTCCTGGATATCCCGCTGATCGTATGCTTTTATTCAACATACAGTATTGAGCGGTATGTGATGAAAAGAAAGTAGTAAACGCTGTTATAGGCGGCAGTACTATCGAATACATAATTCACAGTCATCATGAACTGCCCATCAGCTGGACTGGATCCTTGTTGTGCTATTTCCAACATTGTGCCATCAAATGATGATTTTCAGCAATCAACAACTAGCAATACCATGTTTTAAACGTGCAGAAATAGGTTTATTTAATGGCACAATTTTGTCAGCGTGGTGCAAGAATGGCAGAAAAAAGCGTGCAAAATTGATAGAATGCTAATGTGGTTTTTACCTTACAGCGGCATTAGTAGATGCCTCGACTAAAGTACCGTTTGCGGGGTCAATCGTTTCTTTAGCCTACGACAATGCGAAAACTGAAACAAGGATTGGTGATTTTACCGACGTTGGTGGAGATTGTCAATGCTTGGGCACCTATCAATATGACAGCCCCCTAATTTCTTTATACAAATTACGCATCAGTGCTAGAAACTACAACCGTAAGTACAAGATATATATATCTACAGTCCTGTCATCTCGTATAGTAGCCACAAAGGACGCTATAACAATAACGACATTGACACAACTCTCTACCTAGACAAGTTTCAATATCCCATCACTGACTATTGAAGTGCCAGTTATGACTACAGAAACATTGGGATTTCTCTACGAAAACCATATGACTACAACTACTCGCGCTTCTGCTACTCTTGAAACAAGCATAACAGTGCCTGCTACTTCTCTTGCAGTGACGATCACCACAACAGTTGTTCCTACTACAACTAACACAGAAACGAATACCGAAACTTCATTTACGCATTTACTTAATAAAACTACAACTACATTCACAATAGATGTCTCAGCATCAGTCTCTAACTCATATGCCCTAACTACCATTTTGACTCTGAACCAATACCATTTTTTTAAAAAGAAATTGCATCTACTTCACCTAAATAAAGCCTTTTGACGCATTTTGATCTGCGATCAGAAATTCAGGAACAGCTGTTTGATTGGTTATTTTTAAATTCCACCATAGTTTTTCAGGTACAGATCAAAATGACATTGCTCTAAAAAGGCTCTTAAAACCAACATCTGTACATCTCTGACAATGATAAAAAGACTACTTGACAGGATAAAAGAGTTGTGGAATAAATAGACAATATGTAAAAAAAAATAGCTTTTGTATGTTTTCTGGTGGTTGATAAATTCTTAACTGTTTGTTATAGTGAAAGAAAGCTGCTAAAGCAAGGCATGAAGATGTGTAATAGATGGGCGATAGATGCTATCAGTCGTGGCTTTCGGATAAAAGTATACCGATCTTATTCAAGATTGAGATGATTGCGGCGATCTGAATCTGCCATTAATTAGTCCTATTGCGCTTCGTCGCGCTTGAAAGTTCAATTATTAATGCATCGTCAATCATTACTAATTTCTCTCCTGCAAGAGTGCATTACCTTACTTTCCATTTTACGCAGCATAAAAACAATGATCATTCTTCATAATGACCTCAATCCAGAAATTGCTCCACTTGAATTAAGTGCCTCTCTTTTTCTACCCCTCAAAAACAATAATAAAATGAAATCCAATGTTTCAGCAACAAGACGTGGGGTTCCTGTTCCAAACATCCCAATGAAGATATGAAAGAGTGAGAGAAAAGGAGCGAAGTGAAAGGCTATTCTATTAAGAATGGAATGGATATTTAAAATATAGATTGCATTTTACATGCGAGTTGCACAAAGAAGGGAGAATCTAAATAATGAGCGTGTCGAACTTGGATCGCGTAGAATTTCCGTTAAACAACGCGCTCTAAAAAATTTACTATTCGTTCTTAATAGTATATAGTCACGTAGAAAAAAAGTATAAAAGAGTACACGATATCGCCACTCTTTGAACCTCTTCATACCTTTTCATTCATCTGCTATAATCAACAATGTCTGCTACTATCGAACCTACTTCTCAAATGGCCAAGCTATCCATGAACGATGCTCAAATCAAAAAGTTGAATGACACTGTTGAAGGTGAGGAGGTTGAAGAGATCCTCAGGGACAACACCAGACGTTTCTGTCTGTTCCCCATCAAGTATCATGAGGTAAGTTGAGTTTATCCCCATCAATATAGATCGTCTTCTTATACATCTGTTATGTCAGATTTGGCAATTCTACAAGAAGGCCGAAGCTTCTTTCTGGACTGCGGAAGAGATTGATTTATCCAAGGATCAGCACGATTGGGAAACCAAAATGAACGAAAACGAAAGATACTTCATTTCTCGTGTGTTGGCTTTCTTTGCGAGTGCTGATGGTGTTGTAAACGAAAACTTAGTCCAAAATTTCTGTGATGAGGTCAAGATTCCTGAAGCAAAGTGTTTCTATGGTTTCCAAATCGCTATTGAAAACATTCATGCTGAAACCTACAGTCTCTTGATCGATACCTACATCAAGGATAACGCCGAAAAAGAAATGCTCTTTGACGCTATCGAGACTATTCCCTGTATCAAGAGAAAGGCTGACTGGGCTTTCAAGTGGATCTCTGGTAATGATTCATTTGCTGAACGTTTGGTAGCATTTGCTGCTGTCGAGGGTATCTTCTTTTCTGGTTCATTTGCTTCCATCTTCTGGCTCAAGAAGCGTGGCCTTATGCCTGGTTTGACTTTTTCTAATGAATTAATCTCTCGCGATGAAGGTCTTCACACTGACTTTGCTTGTCTCCTGTTCACTCACCTCAAGAAGACTCCCTCTGAAGATCGTGTCAAGAACATTATTGTTGAAGCTGTTGAAATTGAACAAGAATTTTTGACTGATGCTTTACCTGTTAACCTTATTGGTATGAACGCTAAGCTCATGTGCCAATACATTGAGTTCGTCGCTGATAGACTCATGGTTGCTCTGGGCTTTAACAAGATTTACAATGTCTCCAACCCCTTCGACTTTATGGATATGATCTCTCTTCAAGGAAAGACCAACTTCTTTGAGAAACGTGTCTCTGATTATCAACGTGCTGGTGTTATGAACAAGACTCCCGTTGAGAAGACCTTTACTTTGGATGCCGATTTCTAAACTAACTTATTATACACATTATACTATCATCATCATTATTATTGCTCTTTCTTTCAAGAAAGAAAGCCCTTACTGTAAATATATCCATTAAACGACAAAGATCACTCCCCTTCTCTTGTTCAATAAACTATTAAATTATCATACAAACTGCTGTAGTTCTTGAATACCACAACCAAATGACAGAAATGATATAATAAGGGATGTTTATTGATGTGGATGTTTATGCGCTTTTACTCATTTCCTTGAGGTATTCATCGTGAAGTTTCTTTTGCATGTCGAACTCCTTTTGAAGCTTCTTCTTTCTACTCTTGGTAACCTCTTCGCCATCTTTGCTATGGGTGGGGAATCCAGACTCATCAAACTTGGAGAATTCATCTGAAGACTTGAACATTTCAGAAGGTGCAAGCTTACCCTTTTCAAGCTTCTCCAAACGCTTGCGTTCACGCTCGGCAGCAGCAGCGGCTTTCTTGGCTTCCTTTTCAGCAGCAATGGCCAATTTCTTTTCACGAGCCTGGATCAATTCTTCGCGAGGCACAAGCTTGACAAGAGCAACACCATCTTCTTGATCGTCTAGCGATACACTGAGATCAACCATTTGATTATCACGAAGGGAATCACACATCTTTAAGAATTCAGTATGCTCAACTTTGTTACGAGCACCATTTCTCACTTGATCTCTGAAGGAAGAAAGAGCTTGCAAGTAGGGCATCAACACTTCTTCAGTCTGTATACAATATGAATTAATAAAAGGTATATACTACATTCCTTTCATCGACTTACGTTGCCTGAACCTTGACCAGCAGAAGCACCGAAACCAATCTCGACGCCGTTATCAGCGACACCAAAGATCTTCAACATGGAAGTTACCCACTTGGCAACCTTGTTCAAGATATGAATATTGACGCCCTTGGCACCATTAGCGTTCATGTATTTGTTGGTGTTGGAGATCAAGTCAACTAGTTCGTCCATAACAACGGGTGTATTGATAGAATCACAGAGAGCAGCGTGCACAGCATCTTGCTTGTCTTGTAACAATCTCAATAGTTGCTGCTCGGGTTCTCTGAAACGATGAGTAATGGAGCCGTCAGCTAATTCAGTGGCTCCACGAGAACCGTCATTCTGAACCTTATATACAACAGCCTTGGTGTTATCAAAGAAGTTCTTCATGAATTGTTCTAACTGAATAGTTTCTTGCATGCTGGATTTCTTGAAATCCATCTTGGCGTCCCATTGATGCAACAAGAAGAAGATACGGAGTTGACGAGCAGTGTATGTCTTGAGTGCTTCATTGATGGTGATAAAGTTCTTCAAACTCTTGGACATCTTTTGACCTTCAACGTGGAGATGGCCAGCGTGCAAAAAGTAGTTGACCCATTGCTTACAATCGAAATGAGCCTCAGATTGGGCCAGTTCGTTATCGTGATGAGGGAAGGCTAAATCGACACCACCAGAGTGAATGTCCATGTTTTCACCAAGGACAGCACTAGCCATGACGGAACACTCGATATGCCAACCAGGACGACCTTGAGACCAAGGAGAATCCCAAACAGGCTCTCCAGGCTTGGAAGTCTTCCATAATGCAAAATCGTTGGGACTCTTCTTACCTTGGAGCTTGCTACCCAAAGAACCCTCACCATCCTCAATCAAAGCAGTATCACCCTTGGACCAAGGTTCAAGCTTGGCATAGTGATGGCCGGCATGACCATCATAGCGAGAGGTATCAAAGTAGACGGATCCATCGGCAGCGTAAGCATAGCCATTGTCAATGATCTTTTGGACATAGTCAATGATTTCGGGGATGTATTCGCTGACACGGGTTTGAACATCAGGAGCACGCACATTTAATGCTTCCATATCCTTGAAATACTCTTGTTCCCAGAAAGCAGGAAGATCACGGAAAATTTTGGGATCATTCACCTCTTGACCTTTCTAATTCGTTCGCAAATAATGCCAAATCAATATATCATATACATCAAATTAAAGATTTGCACTTACTCTGGCATCTAACCAAGCTGAAACGATGTCTTGAGAGGCAACCAAGAGCTCATCAGAAGCTTCCTTTCCACTGACGCCCTTTTGCAAATTGGCTTTGGCATTTTGAATAGCAACATAAGAGGCATCCTAATGCTGCATTGTAAATCACCTCACTCTTGATTCCTCCATGCACCAATATCACTTACCAAAGCACTAGAGATCATTTTGTACTTTTCATCCAACACAAGAGCCTTAGCGACCTCCTCAGGAGTCATCTTCTTGATGAATTCTGGCCAGTTGGAAGTAGCCAAACTAACAAGGGATGCATCCAATTTCTTCAATTTAGCATTAGCGAATTCCAACCAAGCTTCCTCTGTTTGTCGGATGATGTTTTCGTCTAGTTGAGTTGTTTCTTTCTTCAAGTTTTCAAAGAGATATTGTTGACGTGCACGCAGAATGATCTTATCGTCGATATCGGTGACATTTTGTACAAACAAAACATCGTATTTAAAGTAATCTTCAAGCACGCGGCGAATGATATCCATACTCAAATAGGTTCTGGCATGACCCATATGAGAAGCATCGTAGACAGTAGGCCCACAATTGTACCAAGTAACACGTCTGCCCTCTTTGGGAATAAAATCAGTCTATGCAATTAGCAAATGTTAGAAACAGTATTATCAGTGCCTCTTTTTTCTAATTACCTTTGTCTTTGTGAGTGAGTTTTGGAACTTCAAGACAGGAGTAGCCTTAGCAGCAGGTGTGAGCCATTTGGGTTGCGTTCTAGATTTGACACCAGATTCAGTAGTGGACATGATATTGATGGATCTTCGGGCTGCTGAAAATTGATTTAGGTACGGTTTTTTGGGTGAGTGGACTGAAGAACGTAATATCACTGTTACAAACGGCAAAATACGCATGTAACGAAATATTTATATCAAACGAAAAAATTGACTCACTTTCTTTTTACCTTGAAAAGCTGGTTGCTGGAAAACAAAAAAAATTGAGAAACCAAAAACATATTTATACCTTGGGAAGATGTAACCACATATAGTGGCTTAGGCTACCTACCTCCATGAAATGTAATGCAAGAAATAGATATCATAATAATGAGTCAACAAAACCGCAGTAAAATTAGTTGTATGAATATCAGAAATTTTCCTGTTGTTACATATTCAATAAAAGATAAGTGTTGAGTTTTACCTATAAGGAGCTGAACCGATTTAATGTATAACGTACAAGCGGTGGAAGACAGCTGTGTGTGTCAGTTTTGAGTGTAGATTTATTGAGAAACGCCAAAAATTACATGACATTATGATTCCTCAAGTTTGCTTGGCCTCACCAAATCTAGCTACAGTGTATTGGTGACTAGTGACACTCGAGGTACTAAACCCCATTTCGAATATATTGGATAACGGTTTTACATATCGCATCAGGGTCGCATTTAAATGCACATTTCGCAAAAGTTTAACCTACCAGATATAAAACTGCGCAAATCTCTTAAATAACGGTAACTAGCCAAAACCATACAATACTTTGTAACTCGCTTTCTTCTTTATATTAGCTTTCAAAAGCATCGGTTGTCCTCATGAGGAAGACATTGGAGCTTTTGCAGTAAAATATTTAAACGTCCGCTAGCCATTTTTCTATCCTGTTTTGTTAAATTTCGGGCAAAAAATCGACCTGTTTGATCTATTTTGTAGGATTTGACTATATAAAAAGTGATTGTCATTCTATCGTTCCTTAAGCTTTCTTGGAGTACTTTTCAAGGCGCTTCCAATGGTGTCAATAAAAATAGATGTTTTGAATAAGCTTAATGAGCAATGTCATGAAATATGAAATGAGGTTTTTGGCGAAAATGTCAAGATTTTACATACAAAGATTTTATAAACAAGGTTTTACGGGCTGTTTTGGATCGAGAGGATCATTTTGATTCAATATATGCCTTAGTAAAAATCTTCATTTTCGCGGTTAAAAACGCGATCGTTTGATTTTCGATGCAAACCATGAGGGGTACCTCATGCTTTTTGGTCGATTCTTGACCATGTTTTTTGGGTTCTCAAAAAGTTGAGCAAAGGTATCAGGAAGTTACTGCTAATCAAGTACAATTGTTTGGCATCATTCCGAAGGCTCAGAAAGGTATACATGTCTAGATATGAAGGCTTGAAAGTTGTCAAATTCGGTTATGTTTTGCTTTGTAGTTTTTATTTACACTTCATAAATCACATATTTGGTAGCTGGTATCTTCTGGAAGGGTGGTTCTGTAGCCTGTGCAATTTCTAATTTGAATAGAAGGCATGTTGATTTTGGTAAAGCTAATTCTTGCAAATTTTGTTGCATTATGTTGTTGGTAAGCTTATTAATGATGGATATGCGAAACCGAATTTGCTGCTTGAACATTATGGTTTTACACCTTTGCTTCGTTACGGTAAACCCTTCATTAAGATTGATATTACCAAATGTTGGGCTAGATGCTTAGCTGCCATGGCTTTTCACCTTCACTTCGCTATGGTAAAACCACCTCATATGTCAATGTTCCTGATCCATTTGACCCGAACTTTCACTGTCGAGTGTGCAAAACCCTAAAAAAAATCGCTCAAATCCCATCGCGTTCATTGCAGAGAAGTTTGCAATATGGCATTGGCCCCCATAGTCAAGGCCTATGCTTATCATGATGCTTTTATTGACGAAAATGACCCCAATTTCTATTGTGCAAAGTATGGCAAAGGCTATCATCAACGACAAACCTACCTCAGGCATTTACGAAATGTGCATAAACTACAGCCTAGAACTAGATTGGTCATTGCTCATCCCGACAAGGAAATCGACAATTATCATCCTGATCATTTCTGCGCCAAATGTGATAAAACACTCTCAAGTAACAGCACATTCCGTCGTCACCGTCTAAGAAGACATCATCACAGTATCTGCAGAAGAACTAGCCAAAGTTTCCAAATCCAAGCGCCTTCAAGCAGCTTCGATGTAATGTTCACTGACGCTTCAATCTAATGCTTACGCTTAAATGATCTGTACAGTTAAAGCGATAGTTATAGTTTCATCAATAGCATTTCAATAGACATATATCACTCAGCAGGGCTGTTTATTGTACATGCACATTTGCTGCCTCCAATTAAAAGCGAATCAAAATTTGAACCAGCTTTGAGAACCTACAAGGTTTCTATGTATCAATTCCCGAGTCTTTTTCGCATAAGTTTCATCTAATAGGTCGGCCTCTCGTCGAATTTCCTGCTCCAATTTCTTCTTTCTGTCCTGCTGTTGCTTCAGAAATGCCTCTTTCTCGGATTCAAAGGGAATATTGTTGTTTCTTGTTTGTGCTTCTTTCACTGCATCTAATAGTGTACTGAGCTTTTGTTGAGCTTTGGCAATCTCTAGTTGTGTGTTGGATAAATCTGCTTTAGAAGCTGCCACTTTTAGTTTTGAATCACACGTTGTGATGTTCACATAAGTTTTTGCTAAAGAGCCTGCGGTAGTGAGCTGTTGTTTTGTCTAATTATCGTGTGAGTTGAGTGCATAAACGAAAAAAAAACCTCAAATTAGGATATTTACCTCGAATTCATTCACAAATGATTCAAGTTCTCGAGACAGAGCTTCTTGACCATTCTTGAAGATCAGGTCATCTAGCTCACACGCGCCTTTCAAGAAACTTTGGATCAACGGTTTGTGATTCAAACTTGTCGCTGTAATATTTACCTGAAGTTATAGTGTCTGCAGTGAATTTCACCATTGTAATCTAAGGTAAAGAAAACTGCACATGAAATCCCACCCTCCTCAGTTTTACACAACTGGAATTGGGCTACCGACGTCGATGTCAAAGGTATAATGGTGCTTTTCATGTAGATCACAGAATTAAATGTTTATTCTATATTCGATTTTCCTCTTCTATGAGTCCCAGCAGAGTTAGAACGATGATCATTAATATTTGAAGTGTTAGTAGGTGGCAAAAATAAAGTGTTTCTTCTGGAAGATCCATTGTTGCTACTGACAGGTGTATTTACAAGGTTGTTGATATTATTAGTTGGAATAGATAGATTTTCAAGCTCGATCTCTGCTGTTGTGCTGGTATTATGTGATGATTGCTGTAATAGAGAAGAGGGTATAGAATTGATAGGGAATGGTATAATTTGTGATTCTCTTTTCATCGTATGATTTGGCACCAGAGTGGTGTTTGCAGCAGCAGGTGATTTGGATGCTGCCAAGGGTGGATAACTGATGATGGAATTGGGTCGTGAGTCCTTGTCCTTTTCAGATAGCAGTATTTTGCATTTGTATCGTCGTCGAATAAACCAAACGATCCAGCCAATGATGAGCAGCACACCAATACTACCGAATATGTAAACTGGAATAGCAATCGCTTTGTTCTGTGCAGTCCAAGCCTTGAGCGTGTTCACTGCATTCAGTCAGACGAAAAATTCACCGACATTTTCATAAAGAGGTACTTACAAGCTCCAGTGCCAACACAGGTACCCTTCTGACAGAATCCAGCTAATCCACATTCAGTGCCATCTAGAAACATGCCGCTCAGCATCAAACAATTTCTCGGATCTTTTGGGTCTGTGCAGCTGATAAGACATGAATCCTTCTGAAAAGAGCACTGTTCGCTGATATTTTGACGTAATCCACGAGCCATGCACTGTTGATCCCTCGAAGTGCATATTCCAGAAGCACATTTCATAGTGCCATTTGCACAATCTGATCCATCAGCGTCGAATAAATCAACAGGACACTGACTAGATTCTCCTGTGCAGTATTCTGTTGAATCACATTCAGAAACGGCAGGTCTGCAGATAGTCTCTTTTGGTGCAATCGTACAATTCAAGCAGCACTGATTACTGTAATCACTACATGGTACATCAACAGTGTGGGTCATTAGTTCATATAAAGAACCATATGAACTTACTCGCAAATGGCATTCGGCTTCAATTTACATGTTCTTGCGTAGCAGCAATCACTATCAGTAAGTCCTGAATCGCATTCCTCCCCAGGTTCCAGTATACCATTGCCGCAGAGTGAAAATGAGCCACCTGTTCTCAGGTCAGGCACTGTAATTAAAGGTTCAATTTGGTTAGTAAATGCATATGTAACCTAATGACAAGCTTACACTTTAAACAGTATCCAATATTGGGAAATGTATTGCAAATATCAGACACAGAGCAAGGGCTAAAGTCGTTTGTCGAGACATTGCTGGTAGGGTTCATCAAATATGTATCTCCTGCACTGCACACTGTATCACTGAGGGGACAACAGCCACATTCACCCTTACAAGGGCACATTCGCGAAGTGCAATCATGAATAGCTCCTGGAATCAATGTACATGTCAATACAAAATGGCACACTTTCTCCCGCATTTACTTACCAAAACCATGGCCTACTTCGTGTGCCACCACCTTCCATTCATCTCTTGTGATTGAAGACACGCCTGTGCCTGATACCCACTCATACGATCCATCATCTTCAATCTGCTGCGATACTTGAGTCTCGCACAGCTGACTCAGCCACGCAATCCCTACTTTGACGCCCGTTCTATGATGCAGCATCAGTATGGCATTCAAGCAAGTATTTGTCAACACACTTACGCGCACTTGGTCATTAAATGCCATAATGCAGCACCATCATCACCCTTGGTCCCTCTCCAGAGACTGAAATCACTAAGACGATCATTGATAGAATAGTAATTTGAGCATTCCTGATTCCATGCAATACTTGACTTGGGCTTTGCTGGACATTCAGGCACAGAAATTTGTAAGTAGATCAATCCCAATGACACATTGAACGTCTTTTCATAAACAGCAGAAGCGACGTTCCAGTCATTGATCATCTGTAATTTTGCGTAGCGAACACTGCCATACGACAAAACATACGAGCAATCGGCAGCAGCACCCATGTATGCAACTAGTCATTGATGAATGCTTAATATCATTTTGTTGGAGTGTCTTTCAAGAAACCTTACTCTTTCTAGCTGTGGGACATCCCTGTGTAACTGCGGAGGGCGAGGATGATGGAACAGCAACAGCAGAGAATACATCGATGTCTCGTTTCTCCCATAGATTGGAGAATGCGTTACTGCTTGTGTTGGAGGCGGTAGGAGCAGCGTGAGATCCAGTCATACGTCTGTTGTAAGCCAATTCTTCCATAGCGCACATGATATCGTCTTTTCTTCCATGTCGCTTTTCTAATAATTCAGATTCTTCCTGATCTTCTACCATGAATTGATCGGAATCTCTATAAATAATCATCTTGGAGTGTTGATTCATCGACACAGGGTCATCGCTGCGTTTTGTCAAGTGATAATTGGGAGCAGTTTTGATGTGGTATATATCTGAATCAACGGTAAATGCACCCTCAAAAATAGGTGTCGTGTGTCTAACAAAAAGTTCAATTTAGCTGTTTTGTTTTCTGTGTAATTACTCCTTAAAAGATCAGCTTACTCTAAATCTTTTCTCAGTAGAATTCGAGCCCACTGATGCTCTTTGTTGTTGGCATGGCCCTTGAAGACAAAGTATTCATGAGGAGCTACTTTTTCGATTGTCTGTGGTGATCCGTCTGTATTGAATACAGTCAATTGAGCATCTGGATGAAACAAATCAAAGTTTGGTGAAAGCGAAAGAGAGATTGATATATCAAATGCCGTAAATTCCAGATTAAATTGATCATGATACTGTATCGTTGAGCCGTTGTCATCATACACATGTCTCTTGTTGCCATGGAAACCCTGATGATTGAATGTGATGGTTGGATTATCGATCGTTTCAATTTTAGACAACCTTGAGGGGCGAGTTGACATGCCTGTGAATTCAATAAGTACAAAAGTGCTTGGCAAGCTTATTTAGGGTGGACAGCTTACCTTTGACTTGAGTGAATAACAACAAGATACATATTATAGTAAAATACATTGATGTCTTTGCTATTATAGACAGTTATATGGCATGCCCTTGTAACTTTTCTTGTTTCTGCTAATGTCTGAAAAGAAAGAAGGAAGAAAAGAAAGACAAAAACATTTAGTGAATCGCAAGAGTGTAGCGGGGTGAAAAGCTGTAATCGAGAGTGTAGTAACTGCAACTTGTAAGAATAGGAGGGGATCTGTAAACCAATGATAAGTTGCAATCAACTCGGAAACATGGCTCACACTTATTTTAATGGCAGTGCTTAGCTCGCGCGTGTTTCGCTTTTCCTGTTCTTTTTCTACCATCGTCAAGTTTGCCAATATGTCACAACAAAACGAAAGAACCCTCTACTTTGCGAGTTTGTGCCAACAGCTCTACAATCCCAAATCTCCCGAAGAACGCAACCAAGCACAAAAGATACTTGAGCACTCATTCCCCACCTTTACCGACACTAATGGACTACCTCCTGCTGGCGTCGATACCCAAGATATCAGCACACCCATGGACACAGCATATGCTTTGCGTGTTCTGCTGGAAAGCTCCCCAGACCCATACGTATTAACTTTTGCGCTCTCTCGTTTGAAGCAACTAGTGCAAGCTCAATTTGCTTTATTCAATCAAGATGCCAAAATTCAGCTACGTCAATTTTTACTACAGTACGCGTTCATGCATCCTGATCTGTTACCATTTATCGTCACTCAGTTAGCAGGTGTATTGGCTGTGATTACGCTGTTGGGTTGGGCTGATGTAGAGCAGTACAAGAATGTTCACAAGGACATTTTGGAATTCATTCAGGTAATTTGATGGAGCCTGTCATTTCACAGAATAGCCACTCAATTTCCGACATGTAGGCTTCTGTTGATCATCGTATAGTTGGCATGCAGATATTAGCAGTAATGGTGCAAGATATCAATCCTCCCAGCTTCGCTAGAAGCGCTGCCAAGTTTAGAAAAGCAGGTGAGCAACTATACAAGTGCAAGAAAAAAAATGCCATAATGCCCTACTGACCACACATTAGCTGGCGAATTTCGTGATACTCAATTGCTTAATATTTGTGAAACTGCATACAAGACTTTGGAAGAGTTAGTGCAACACTCTATAGGATTTACGTCAAGCGAGCAAGAACAGCGCTTGCAAGAAGCAACACTCAACCTGATGACAAAGTGCTTTTCGTACGATTTCAATGGAACCAGCGTAGATGAATCTGGAGAGGATATTGGCATCATTCAAATCCCTGCTTCCTGGAGATCCTTGTTCGAAAACCCTGAATTTTTGAATACCATGTTTAGAGCATACAAAGAATTCCCTCCACCAAGATCATCCAAAGTCATGGAATGCCTGGTTCAAATTGCCTCTGTCAGAAAGACCCTCTTTAACGACCAAGAAGAAAGATCCAAGTTTGTTGTCAAAGTTATGCAAGGCATCCGCGAGATTATTGTCGCTTCACAAGGGTTGAATGATACGGATAATTACAATGAATTTTGCAGACTCTTGTTTCGTTTCAGAGCTACGGTGCCCTTGAACGAAATGGTCGAAAAGCCGGGATATTTGAATTGGATCGAGTTGATTGCAGAGTTCTCGTTGAAAGCTTTTCAGTCTTGGAAATTTGCACCAAACACCTCCATGTATGTGCTCGGCTTTTGGGCTCGTATTGTGCAAAGCATGACTTATTACCAGCAATTGGGAGAATCAGCAGTCGAGAAATTAGGTAGCATCACTGTGGAATTGACTCGCTCCTACATTTCAACTTCGATTGATGCTGTCTCTACTCGTATTGAAGAAGCTTTGGACGATCCTTTGGAAAACGAAGAATCCATCATTGAAACACTCAACATGCTCGGTCAAATTGCACACTGCAAATACGAGGCTTCCAGCACTGCGCTTATCAACCTCTTTGATCCTATTACTGTAGAGTACCAAGCATTGATCAACCAGACAACCAGCAACAACATGACCAGCCCTGAGACGTTCAGAGAGGCTTTAGAGGTGATTGAAACAAAGTTTGCTTGGCTGGTGTATGTGATGGCTGCATTCGTCGGTAATCGATCTGCCTTCCTCAACTCTGAAGACTTGGACAAAATCGACAGTGAAATCACCACCAAGGTATTGCAGTTGATGGATGTTCAGCAATCATTGCAGACGCAGCACGGCAACACATTCATGAACGAAAAGCTGGATTTAGCCTTCATTTACTTTTTCCAGCAATTCAAAAAGTCTTACATGAGTGAATCCAACGGTCGCGACATTTATTCCAAATTGTCCAAGGTGTTTGGTATCAGCGATCAAGTGCTGATGCTGGATATTATTATGCGCAAAATGTAAGTGTTGATGGTTAGCGTATGTGTTTCCGTACTAACAAGTCGTGTAGTGTATCCAACTTGCAATACTGGGCCGACAATCAGCAGCTTATCAGACGCACCTTGGAATTGTTCAACGAACTAGCCACTGGATATGGAGCTTCCAAGAACCTACGCAAAATCGAAACAACCCGCTTGATTCTTCAAAATCATATGGCAAGCCAATTTGCATTCTGTCAGAACGAAAAGCAGAGCGACAACAGAATTTTGTACTTTCAAGTGTTATGCAAACTCCTGTTTGCTGACGACAATGTGGACGAACGCATTTTTTACGAATTCATGAAGCCATTCGATGTTCGCTTCAGCAACTTGGGCCCTTTGAACAGCGTGGAAGCCTTTAGACAGGAGACAACTCGCCGTGCTTTGCGTGATATTTTCGTGGATATGTGCGGCTTCATCTCTCCCATGCAGACGCGAAGACACTTCATCCTGTTCTTTGAGTGGTTTTACACTGAATACTCCTCTGTCCTATTGCGTGCTATGGAAGCTTGGTCTCCTGATCCCATTGTCAGCTCATTATTGACCTTTTACTCTGAATTTGTCCACAACAAGAGTCAGCGTTTGGGCTTCGAGATATCGTCTGCCAATGGCATTCTCATGTTCCGTGATGCAAGCCAAATTGTGTGCTCCTTTGGCTCTCAAATCGTCAAGCAAACCATTACTGACGAGAACCAAAAATATGAACTCAAGTATAAAAACATCGCAACCTGTTTCAGCATCATGTCCAAGTGTTTGGGTGGCCGCTATATCAACTTTGGCGTCCTCTGGCTCTACCAAGACAAGGCAATCAACGAAGCCCTTGACATGGTCATACAACTCATGATGAATATTCCCATGGACGACTTGATGAGCTTTCCCAAACTCTCACTGTCATTCTTCCACTTACTTGATGAATTATCTAGAGAACAGTTGATGACTATACCCAGCATTTCCCCTGAGGCTTTCCTGTACTTGATGCAAGCTTGTGAACAAGGTGTCGAATCCACTGATAGTCTTGTTCGCTCCCATGCTTGTTCCTCCATCTTCAACATTTGTAGCTATGTTATTAGGGAAACCGAAAAAGCAGAGAGAGAAGCTCAAAAGCCATCTACATCGGACGCTTCCTCAAGAAGAAGATCTTCTGTCGCTTCCGGCAACATCAATCAAATCGCCGGAAACCACTGGCTCATGACCTATCTACGTCAATTCCCTCAAACTCTACCCACCTTGATGTCTACGGTATTCAGCTTAGTGTTGTTTGATGATAACAGTGACCAATGGTCCTTGTCTAGACCTCTGTATGGCTTAATGTTGCTCCAACGCGAGTACATGATTAGATACATCGATGCCGTTATTGAGCAACAATTGCCTGAAAGGAGAGCATTTGTTACTACTGTAAGTTTACCACCGCATAGATAGTTTCCATAAATTACTAATCACCTACTTTACAGTCTTTGAATAACCTATTTGACGGTGTTAACTGGACATTATCTCCCAAAGATCGCGAGAGATTCACACAAAACGTTTCTTCCTTTAGAAGATTACTGAATCTGAACAGTGTCACTCTCGTTCCCTTGGCCACTGCTCCACCTTTTTACTAGAGGAAGCCTTCCTTATACAAGCACGCGCACACACCAAGCATGAAAAATCCGACGGCAACAGTAGATTTTTAATTTTATAAATATACAATACCAAATGTTATCCCCGTGTTCTCGCTTTCGATTTCAAAGAATAAAAGAAAGAAAAAAAATTGTATATAATATTGTAAACCACAGTTACAAGTTTGTATTTCATTCTTGGATACTGAACTACCTTTTGGGCTAACATACGCATTTAGTTTTACTGGCGTTGTATCCTTTGTTGCATCCTAACTATAGCTAATTGTCGATCTAGCGATATCAAGCAGTAGGCCATCTTGCTCGACACTTTACAAAAATTATCACGATAATACTGCACATGCTTTCTTGATCTCACTCATGCCTCCTGCATTGAGCTTTCGCCTATGTTGCTTTTTACCACAGTATATGCCTACTGTCCCAAAACGACATCACATTATCAGCAAAATTTGTTGGACAACTTCCCTGCTGCTGCTTGAAGGTCATTACAGGATTTTGAGCAAAAGCATGAAGAGAATGTAGGCTAGAAACTTAAATTTCTTACATCATAATAGATCCAAAGTAGAGCTATCAAATGGTCTTTGTTTTGTGCGAATTCAGTGAGTATTTGTCGAGATATAGCCAGAAAAAGTTATCATGCAAAATCATCGCTTTTTGTTCAAAATCTGCTTGTGATAGCAAGCAAAAAATCTGGTGACCTTTTTTTGGTCAGGATAAGATTGTCAATATTTCATGATATAGTTATGCCAGAGATTTAAGCAGTAGCTCATTTAATAGGAAATTTTTTGCTCTACAATGTTTAGTAATGCTTAACAAAATGTTTTGATGACAGATACTGATTAATCTTTAGAAAACAGTCAAAATATTGCAAAAACAATCGTATCAAATATCAGGTGAACAATGTATACCAGAGACTTGAAATAAATACCATTGTATTCTCCTTGCAATTCTCTACAACTTTCATATAAGTTTGAAGAGGAGTTTACTATTAGGAAACGTGTAATGTTAAGGTCGATAGATTTCGGGATCCTATGGATCATCATTCAGAACGATAGAATCTCCGTTAAGCTTCCACATGTGTATACTACGCAAGTATGAATTTGACTGAGCATTTTAAAAATTGGAGCGTACGAAAAGAGCCATAGTAACTTGCTGGTTTCAAGTTATCAATAGATACTGGACATGTTGGAGAATTTTGCTTTTAAGGTTAGATAGTTGTAACTTGCTTTGTTCGATAATAATAAGTCTTCCAATTTAAAGTATGTATATTTCCCCGCGTAAAAATAGCGTCTCCAATGTCAATTCTAAGCACAAAAAATAAAAGGATTATTATTTGTAGCTTATAAAAAATGTTCGATATTGCAAAAACAAGAAAAGACTTATTTGAATAAGATCAGACACAAAAACTAGGGATTTATTGATGAAGACAAGAGTTATCCTATTTATACTAAGTTCTGAATGCCAAACTAGCAATTTATCTTGTACAGCGCTTATCACATTTGGTGAACCTCAATATTTAGATACCTGAGATGATGCACTTCAATTGTCATAGCTTGTCCATGTTGTTGCACAACACAGACATATCTACCCATCAAGAATACCTTAATCTTTATAGACACTTGTAGCTCTGCTGGCACAACAGTTACCAACAATCAATATGTTCCTAGTGGCTGCTGTTTATACCATGTCAGCGTAGTAATCATTGACTAGTAATCCATCATATTTAAGCTACTATTAAGATAATCCTCTGTAATGAAGAAGCTTTTTGTTTTAGATACAGTTAACAACTGATTATTTTCGTCGACTTCTTTATTGTGAAGTCATCGATGTCCAACATTGACGCTAAACTTTGAATCTGATTTTACGGCTAGATTAGGTATCTCCGTTTTGGACGACCACCGAAAGTGTCCTGCTAACCTAATAAACACTTCGTCTAATCTGAGCAAAGCTGTTAGATTCAAATTTGCAAAGAATCATTGACATTCTGATGAATTCGTAATAATAAGTCGATGATAATAATCAGTTGTCAACTGTATCTAAAACGAAAGCCAAGAGCTTCTTTATTACAGGGCATCTAGCTTGCTTAAATATGGTAGATCCCTGGTCAATGACTACTACGTTGAGATGGTATATAAATAGCAGGCCACTGGGGCCTTATGGATTGTTGGTATAGCTTGTTGAGAGGCCACCTAAGTCGGTATGTTTCATGTAGTGTAGGTGGATCTCGATATTTTGACATTGGGGAGATTGAATGTATTGTAGTTCCTGAGGCACCTGTGCACACACAATTGACTGGACTTGTAAACATAGATGTGATGTGATACGATAAACATCATCTATGCTGCTACACTGTAAAAGGTGGCTTGAGGAGAAAGTGAATGTAGCCTAAGATGCATGCTTGTATGCAACATTACCCCCACCCAGCTTTCGACCAGCCACAAACTAGGATATCATACGAGCCGAATGCAATAATCGAGGATACAACACAGAACGAAGAGACAGAACCAAGAAACAAGAAGGCGATACAAACAGGTAGACAGGCAAAGCGATGGAAACCAATATGAAGTAAAAAAACCGAGATGGTGCCAAAAAAAACAACATACATGGGGTATACGAGGAGAGGTTATCAGAAGATGATAGCAGCAAAGGGAATAGCAGATCGAAGAAAAACCTTGTAAAAAAAAACCATATTCAGGCCAAAAAAAACAAATCAAGGACAAAAAGATCACGGCTATTGCTGAATGTTGTGGTTACGAGAGTTTGGAATCGACGGATAACGCAATGTGACGGACGGTCCTGCATGCTTACGACGACTATAAATCTTGCGCTTATTGACAGTGTTGGGAAGGAGTCGATTGGGATTCTTGTGATCCGGTGCAATGCGATCCCAGTAGTCGCGAATAGGTCGTTTGGAATCAAAATCGCTTTCATATTGCCAGGTATTGTCCTTCGAGGACGGATAACCTACCCAATTGACAAGAAACTTCATTCGACCAGTCTTTCTTTCAACGCGATGATTGATGATGGCTTGCACTTCATAGTGGCGAGGAAGTAAGCCTTTTGTAACATGATTGTCCGAGAAATCGACAACGCGAATGTGCTGGGTAGGCACATCACGGGGCAGCAATTCACCAGTAATGTCGGCTAACGTATAACTACCATTGCGAGTATAGTTCTTGATGAAATATGGACCGAGCCATCTGGGGTGAAGTTTAGTTGATCTGACAGGGTCGAAGAGCATGACCTTTGAATTGATGGGATACTTCTCTTCAATGATCTTGTGATGCTTTTCGAAGCGCTCATGGTCGCGCAATTGTGTTTCTTTGATACGCTTATGGATGGCAGGGATTACCACATCCTTAATGTTCTGTAAGCGGGCATCAATGACTTCCTTGGTAGGATCCTCGGGTGTCTGGTCAGCATTAGGCAATTGAGTGTAATCCTGGAAGAGATTTGGGGCACGCCCAAACATGATAGCAAACGGCTGCGATTGATGCAATCTAGCGTATTGAATGTTCATGGCATACTGAATGACATCGAGATACTCATCCCATGCCTCAGGTTCTGCAGCATCGTGTGTCAATGATTTAATGATAGATCGTTTTGAAATGCCCACATACGCTTCGACAACACCATTAGCTTGTGCAGCGTACGGCAACGAAGTCAAGCGATCCATGCCACTAATCTGACTGAACTCTCTCATAAATGCTCCAACAAATTCAGAGCCATTGTCACTAGTGAGTCGCTTGGGAAATCCAAATAGACAACATACACTAAGCAATGCTCTTGCAACAGTGATTGGACTCTTATCAGGAAGAGCTCGTAGAATGGTGAATCGACTGAAATAATCGACAATGACTAGCAGGAAGTTATTGCCCGAGGTGGAAGTCGTAGCGAAATCACCTAAATCGATAGCTATATGATCGAACACATTGTCTGGCAACACGCTACGAGGAGGATGATATCCCACTTGGTAGATACCATGCGATTGACAAGCATGACAATCCTTGGTTACTGTGGCGATGTCATTGCGCATGTTGGTCCAATGTACCTTGTAATCATTGTGCAAAATCTTTTCCATTGAATTGATGCCCACATGACCGAGTAAATGCACTCGCATAACAAGCTCTAGACGATCCTTCTTCGGAGGAGTCATGTAATCAGCATATTTCATAGCACGTGAAATAAGAGCATTACAATCTGACTGTCCACCAGATGAACCATTGTATGAACTTTTGGCATCAGCAGTCTGTTGATTCTTTAAATCTTGAGCGCTGACAGATGGCATGTTGTAGGTGCTCGCATCAAAAATATCAACATTGCTATCATTCAATTCCTTGGAATAATAGTGTGGATCCAATTCGGTTGGCATCCCAAAGGAAAGCTGCTGCAATTGCTTTTGATTGTTGAACTGCTTCTTGCGTTTGAACTGCGTACGATTGGAGTGATTGGGCTTAGCAAGAGAAAATTGAGTGACTTGGGACTCTTTGGCGTTGGTGAAGCCATGTTTGTTCTTTCGCGTAGGTTTACGCTTTTTTTCAGGTAGCATAATACTTTGATTGTTATAACGATTACCCCCACCCAGGTTATTGCCACCCTCGTCATCGTCAGAGGTGAATAACCGACTGAGTGCATCAGGTAACAGGTTACGCGTACCAGGGATATGAACCAGCTCATACTTGTAATCAAAGAACAGTTTTTCATACCACGTCAACAGCATCATGTTGGGCGTACTTTGCGTTTGAAGCCAGATTAAAGAGCGATGATCTGTGTGCAAGACAAACTCAATACCGAAAAGCCATTTGTGGTATTTGGTAAGCATGTAGACAATGGCAAGCAACTCACGTTTGGTGGTAGAATAGGCCATTTCAGAAGGGGAAAGCTTACGACTCGCCATGACAACGTAATGAACCACGCCATCCTTGATGTAGTAGATGATACCACCGATAGCAGTAGCTGAGGCATCAGTAGCGACGTGCAGCTTG